GGGCCAGTGTGGACCTGAGTGACATTTTGTTAACCCTGTAAAGGGTCATTTTAAGACATACTAGCTTAAGAAAATGATTTAAAAATATGAAAAATATTAGCTGCAAAGTATGGCTTTAAGGACACATAATAGTTAAAATATCCGGAATGTAAATAAAGGGATCATTTGTTTATTAATGCACAATTATGCACTAACGTTGATAACGTGTTATCAAATATCTTCCTGTTGACTGCAATTATTTACATAAATAAATACTCCCGGACCTGGTTCTTTATCCTAAAACATTCCTGACTCATCAAGCAGTGTTATCAGCATGCGTCTGTGTGTGTGTGTGTGTGTGTGTGTGTGTGTGTGTGTATTTGAACACTTTGCTTACACATGTGGACCACAGTTAAAGAATAATGAGTTTTTTATTTTACATGCATCATATCCTTGTCAATAATTGAAAACACCAGCATTATTCAATTTTAGCCGGCGACCCTTACAGGTTGTTCTTCCTGCATCCCACCAGACTAAAGTGGTTCAAACCGACCGAGCTGAGAACCTGCTGACCCTGTTGTTGACTCAATGAACTAATAATATGTCAAGTTAATGAACTGCAGTGATTGAGCAGACACCATGACAGAGGCAAACAGAACAATAAGAAGATGATCATAAGAGTTCTACATCGTCATAACATGTTTTTATTATTATTTAGAATTTTGAAAGTATTTTATGTGTTTTTCTGTGGGTGTGCAATTAGTGGGGTGGCCATGGCCCCCCCTTGGCCACCCATTGGGGGTTTCTGATTGACTGAGGCTTTACACTTTTGCATTTTTGTTTAACTGAGAAAGAACCAACATATTAAATTAAGCCAGGGGCATTCAGATATACATGATCAGCTGTTATTACCTTTGACAAATATTCTGAAAATAATTTACCCCTGCTGGTTTTCCTTCTCTGAATCTTCTAATGAAGATGCTGGCAAAGTGGATTTTTTATATTTTTATAAAAAAAAAAGGATTTCTGCATCTGGATAATTTTTATAAATATTTATTTGGGGGAAAAAAGCCAGAAACCTCGAACTTTTTCATTTTGCAAATTAAATAATAAATTATCTTTGCCAATGTGACACGTACCTCCTCACAGACCATTATTTAACAACTTATTTGTGTGTTTAACATAAAGAAGGAAATTAAAACTAAAAGTGTAAGGGGATGTTTGTTACGAAAAGTGGGCCAGATCACCAATGTGACCTTTACCCTGTAACTAATCCTGACTGGTATTCTGATCACTCCCCTAGCTGGACACGTTGCACCCTCGCTGCCAACACAACTATACACACACATTCACCCACTCATTTAGCATTGTGACTGAGGAAATCTGAATTGATTCTGAAAGGGTCACACACACAGATACACACTGGTTTTAATATGTGCTGCACATGGCCGCACATATAAAAAGTGTGTGTCTTTTGCTCCTTTCCAGCCAAAGAAACACACACTCTGGCTCACATGGTGAAAAAGCCACCTGTGGTGAGGTCTGAAACACAAGTATCACTCAAGGAAAAGGTACTTGGCACCATGGTGCTTTCCGGGAAGTGTAGAGGCTTATCGACATAAAGAAAATCGCCTGATAGATGAACACCGATGTGTCAAAAAAGTCATGTTTTATTGCAATTTCTGTTGTGCTGTATTACAAAATGTTAGTTTTAAATTGCTACTTCAGATTTTATGGGGAAAACAGGTCTAAAAACAATAAAGTGGAAGATTTACCTACCAACTAATGAAAAGAAACATCTCCACTGCTCATGTCTGGCTTTGTGGGAAATTTAGTTCCCTACAGGAATGGAACAAGAACAGCAGAGTGTCTAATAACTGTGAGAAAGAGTAGAAAAGACACTTTGTCCCCATTAAGTGACCTTAATGAGAACTCAGTCGTTTCATCCATTGTTCAGGTTAAATGATTGCAGCTCCTATGGACCCACTTGTCTTGGAACCCGGCACACGAGATATTTCCACAAACTGAATTCTTCAGTGGACAAAAGCAAACCCTTAAATACCAAATGACTGGAGCCCTTTGGCGTTTGCATTTATCTGCAGAAGAATTTTGTATTTTACACTAAAAAAAAATCAAACACAGCTCATCTCAAATCCCTCATCATGTCACCTATAAGCACGGCGGTGGGAGGATGATGATTTATGTTTATGTATTTATGTTTATGTATTTAGCAGATGCTTTTGTCCAAAGCGACTTACAAGTGATAATTGGCATGTTGCCCCTGAGGCTAACAACAACAATAACAACAACATTGACATCAGTCATGGAGAGGAGGGAACAAGGAGTGGACAGTAGAGAGGGGGTCGGGTGCAGGGAGGGTGCTAGTTAAGAAGATGCTCTCTGAAGAGCAGGGTCTTCAGGAGTTTCTTGAAAATTGAAAATGAAGCCCTTTTTCTGGTAGTGCTTGGTAGGTCATTCCACATTTGTGGAACGATGCATGAGAAGAGTCTGGATTGTCCTGAGCGTGGTGTAGGCACTGCTAGCCAATGATCCTGTGATTACCCAAGTGGCCGGGCAGAGACGTAAGCCTGTGCAAGAGGATTCAGGTAGATGGGAGCCGTACCATCTCGGACTTTGTATGCTAGTGTTTGCAATTTGCATTTGATGCATGCTGCTAGTGGTAGCAGTGGAGCTCAATGAACAGAGGGGTGACGTGTGCTCTTTTTGGCTGATTGAAGACTAGACGCGCCGCTGCGTTCTGGACCATTTGAAGAGGTCTCACAGTACAGCCTGGAAGACCAGTTAGAAGGGCATTGCAGTGATTGAGGCGGGAGATGACAGTAGATTGCACCAGGAGCTGGGTGGCATGTTGTGTTAGGTATGGTCTAATCTTTCATATGTTACACAGCACAAAGCAGCATGAATGAGCAACAGAGGCAACATGATCTTTAAAGGTCAGGTGTTCATTAATCACAACACCCAGATTTCGAACTGCCTTTGAAGGAGCCAGAGATAGGAAGTCATTTTGGATTGAGATATTGTGCTGTATGGATGGTTTTGCTGGGATGACAAGTAGTTCAGTTTTAGAGAGGTTGAGTTGGAGATGGTGGGATTTCATCCATTTTGATATGTCAGAGAGACAGTTTGATATTCGTGCTGAGACAGTGTGGTCGTCCGGTGGAAATGACAGATAGAGCTGGGTGTCGTCTGCATAGCAGTGGTAGGAGAAGCCATGTGATCGAATGATCTCACCCAGTGAGGTGGTGTATGTGGCAAAGAGAAGAGGTCCTAGTACAGAGCCCTGGGGAACTCCTGTGGCAAGATGATGCACAGTAGAGGATTGTCCAAGCCAAGATACACTGAATGATCATCCTGTGAGGTACGATTCAAACCAGGCGTGTGCTTTCTCTGTGATGCCCATGCGTGTGTACAAAAGGAAGCCATGGTTGACAGTGTCAAATGCAGCCGATAAGTCGAGCAGGATAAGCACTGAGGATTTGGCAGTCGCTCTAGCTTCTTTTAAGGATTCAGTCACTGCTAACAGAGCAGTTTCAGTGGAGTGGCCCTTTTTGAACCCAGATTGGTAAGGGTCAAGCAGACAGTTTTGTGAGAGGTATTCTGTGATCTGCTTGAAAGCCACCCTTTCAATGATTTTGGACAGAAAAGGGAGGAGAGAGATAGGTCGCTAGTTCTCCACATGATTTCTGAGGAAGAGATGGTTTTTTTAGCAGCGGTTTAACCTGAGCATGCTTGAGAGAGGTGCATGTATCGGAGCATTTCACCATGAACTCTTCTTTAAACTAAAGGATGCTACAAGGAAGGAATGAAAATTATAAGTAAAAATGAAACAGAAGTGTTCTTTGTTTTGCTAGTTGTAGCTTTCTGTTCTGTTTGTCTGTCTGTCTGTGCTTGTGGTTGTAAACGATACATTAAGGAAGCCATTCTTGACTTTGAACCTGTAACATGTGGACACACCATAGACTGTACATACACACTCTAAAAGTTGGTTTGTCCCCACAGAGCAAAAGCCTCCAGTATTTGGTTTTCAGAGTTAAGGAGTGAAGTAACTTTTAGTTAAGGGGTGGGTTTGGAAAAGATCAGTAATGGTTGGGGTTAGACCATCAACATAAGGGTCCCCGCAGTTTTAGAAATACAAGTTTGTGTGTGTGTTTGGTGGAGGGTGTGAACCTGTGGAAAGACCAGCGCTTCTTCAACACTCCTTCAGCACGCACACAAACACACATCTTTCCTTCTCTCCCTGTCTTTTTCTCATTTCAGACGTTTTGGCTTTTCTTTCTCTACTTGTTTGGCTGCAGTCTGACTCATTAGTCTGATGTTTGGTCTTTACCTGTCATCAAAACATCTTAGCCTCCAGGTGTGTGGGAGCTAATCTAACACAATTCATTTGTTTTGTGGGTCATGTTTCATCTTACTGTGGCTGCTTGTGTGCAGCGCGGCCCTTCGGTATGTACATGCGTCTCCGTCCCAAATCCCATTAAATCAGCCTCACCTCTGTCTCACCTCCCACTGCTGAGAGGTATTACCTCATTCTGCTGCCGGAGCTTTTTTCTCACATTAGTCGCTGCAAAAAGCACAGGCAAACTTCTTGTTTTCTCTGTCAGCTTCTAACCACCATAATCTAAGTCTAAATGAACTCTCCTTCTGTGGAGTTTGTCAAAGAAATCTTGTAGATTTTGAGCAAAACATAGATTTAAACCTTTGCTTGAAGTTTAGGCATTAATTATCAGAGTTCACTGTCTGGAAAATGTAAAGGAAATATCTACAACTGGTTCACTTTTGGAGTCAGCGGGTCATTTTAAGTATTTGTATTAATTTTCATAAATAAAGGTTTTATTTATTTATTTTTAAACACAACAAAATTTGATCATTCATCTGTTTGAGTCAGAAACATTTGTTTGAGACAATTTTCTGACTTAATCAACAATAATAAAAGCCTTAAATTAAACATAAGATAAAACTTTATTTATTTATTTATTTGAAGTTTTGTAAAGGTCAGTTACCTGTGTGTGTGAGCTCTGCATACGGTCAGAACCCGGGTCTGGACCTCTAGAGGCAGGAGGCCGAGCAGCAGGCACAGCCACGTCGGAGGGAGGACACACATGTTAGAGGAGCAGAGGGAAACTGTCTCCGCAGAGGTGAAAAAAAAACCAACAATCCAAACTCTACTCGTAGAAATATCAAAAATAAAGTAAAGATGGCCAAATGTGGAAGCTGGATCAAAGCAAAAACTGTTCAAGATAAATTTGCCTCTAAGAGTCCGTAAAGATGAGGGACAGCATCATCATCTTCCCAGCGTTTACCTGCTCGCTGGCATCAGTCGGTAAACTCAGGAGATCATGAAAGTCCACACTGGGAGCAGCTGGAGGTTTCTCGGTTATAAAGCCTTTCTGAAAAAGGAGCAGGAGGAGGAGGAGGAGGGAGGAAGGCTTATTCTCTGCCCTTCTTAACACTATTACCTAATTAAACCTCCCACAGCCCCACTCGACTCATCTAATCACAGTTTTACAAAGAAACCCACTTTTCTTGTTATGGGTGTTTATTACCTTTTTTTCCACTTTTGGATTACGATGTTTCCCAGTGAACTCACTGGTTCCCAGCGTGGGATTAACTCACTGGAATCAGCAGCTGAACCCATCGTTTACACAGTTGATGCTGAATAAAGCTTGCTGTTCACTCAGTTTATTTTATACACATTAGATCAACCGGCAAAACAAAATGTAACAAAGATGAGCCGGAGCTGCTGACCTCACTTCTGATTTCCTGTCATCTTTTCTAAAATCCTTTGTTTTTACTTGTTCAAAGGATTCGCTGAAAACAAAATCCAGTTGAGTTAACGGAATAAAAAAGATCAATCCTTTCCAGGCTGCTTGTTCTTCGAAAAGTAACTGAATTACAACATGATTAAGAACTACAGAGTATTATAATGAATAAACACACGTAATTTAGACTTCATTGTGTGATTTTCTTTCTTTTTTTTTTGGTCTTTTCTCTAAAATTGTATTGATCTGTGAGGTGTTGTAGGGAAAGTTAATTAATGAGCCTCGGCTTCAGCCTGGAGGGATTGTGAAATAAATCTTGTGTATTTTACTTTAAATTGCAATTTGTAAACCTGTAACTGCAAACTTAAAATTAATAAAACTTAAACAAGATTTTGTTCAATTAATAAAGTTAATTTTAAAATCCTAAAATGAACTTGCACATCTGAACGTGATAAACTCAGGAAAGTCTGACAGCGTTCATCTTTGGGCTGTTATCTTGCACTACACATTATTTGTAGCATGCATACGTTCATGTGTGAAAATAAGCTATTATTTCTCTGTGCAAGCTATCTAACATGTATCTAACCTGCAGAGTTAGTTTTAGCAAACTAAAAATGACTTGCAGCAGAAGAAAACAGTTAAAACTAATGTGTAGATCCTGTGTCGTGGTTTTTAATAAAGATGCTCTGCAGAAGTTAAAGTTCTGTTAACGATATTGTGTGACTTCTCTGTCCCTGCTGCTCTGGTGTCTGATGACTGAAACAATTTAAAAAGTAAAGTAAAAGATACAAGAAAAGGTATCTAGCATCATCTGCAGCGATCCAGTTCTTCTCATTTTATCTCGTGAAAGAACTTTTCTTTGCAGCGAGGGATTCAGCCGAGGAGCTCCGAATCTGAACCTAATTAAAGGTCTGTCCCGTGTGTGGAGGCTTCAGGTCTTAATTAAACGGCTGTGTGTGTGTGTGTGTGTGTGTGTGTGTGTGTGTGTGTGTGTGTGTGTGTGTGTGTGTGTGTGTGTGTGTGTGTGTGTGTGTGTGTAATTGTACACTATCCAGACACATCTAATGTCTACTGAACCCTTCAGGCTGAAATCAGAGAGGGGATGAGACATCTGGAGACTTGAGATTTCTATAAATAATCTCAGCGTCAAACACAAATTAATCTATGATCTAATACTGTTTGTGTTTGTCAACTAGGAGGCTTGTGTAATGATTTATCTTCAAATTTATTTAAGAGAAAAGAATGAAAAAAAATCTGAAAATCATCATGTGATCTGACATCCATAGTCTTGTGTCTTGTCGGATAAAAGCATCATATTAATGGCCTTAACTTTGCAGGTATTTCCTTGTAAAAACAAACAAACAAACAAAAAAGAACAGCATGTGAATACCTGTAATGTAAACATGTCAAAGTCAGATAAATAAAGTGCTGCATAACATGCAGCAGAAACAAACTAAAAAGCTTTCTGTTGGTTTTGGATTAACATTTATTTATTTTTATTTTGTTTTGTTTTCCCTCCTTACAGGATCTTTATGTATCCAGAACCCGGAGTTTCCTCTTTGATCATTAGTTTTCTCATTAGCTGCCCCAGCGTCAGTAATTCTATGCAGTTTGGTGGGGTCTACTGCCTCTCAGTGGTGAAGAAAGGAAATGCAAGAACACCAATGAAAGAAAAGCTTCTGTTTCTCCAGTATTACATTATTCTCACCACTGTACAACAAATGCAGTCCATCCATCCAGATTCAGATCGACCCCGATCCATCCCCCCCAACTAAGGCCAGAAAGAAAACTAAATCGGAGGTTAAGCGCTTGATGCTCATTTTTCCAATTACACTGAATGCACCATGACGTAAACAAACACCGATTCCAGAGGCACCAAAGTGGTTGCTGCTAGGATGCAGGACGAAGTGAAAAAGGCAAGCAACGATTACTGCGTATTTAAAAAAAGACCAACAGTGGCGGGACCGATCTGTTTATTCATGCATGTTGGTTCTAGTTTCTGTACGTTGTTGTCAGTGTTGGGACTTACTCGTCATAAGCGCCAAAGCCTCATTGCTGACTTTAACAAGTCTCATCTATATGATCCCTCATGAAGTTACTACTTTACACCAGAAGATATTGGAGATGTGGAACCTTCAGGCTGAGCAAAGTTTGGGAGATTTTAGAGTTTGAAAAACGCCTCCCGCCGAGAGGCTCCCAGTCGGGGAGAGGAGGAGATGCGTGCAGCATGAAGAGCACAAATAATAGATCAAACGAATAACTGCCGGCAGGTCTGGTCTTTGTTGCCTGGTCACTTTGTCTGGTAATGACTGACTCTGATTATGAAGCAGATTATTGACTGATGAAGAAATTCACTCATCCAGCCCGGACGATTGACGCTGCTGCAGCATCAGACAGCGAGGTGTGTAGAGTTTACAAGCTCCAAACGTTGGGCTTGATGTTTGTTTAACCTTCTTTGGGACGTGATGGATGTAGAAATGATGGTAAAACAACGCAAACGTGATAGATTTAGCGACAATGTTAAAAAAAAAAAGCCGTAAAAAAGAGGCAGATGCCGATGCGTTATGTATGGAAGTCAAAGTGTACCACATAATCATAAAAAAGTAAAATATAACATTTAAAAAGAGATTTATTTATATATATATAAATAAAAACTTTCAAAATATAATGAAAATTTCTAAATAACGTAAAAATACGAAGGAACATCTGTTGGTCAGGCTGAAAAGTTTGGAAACCACTGCTCTAAGTGATAAGTGAATTTTGTTTTTAAATATATTTTATGTGCAGTTTTTTAGGGCTTTTATGATTTCTGTAAAGATTGGTATGCTGAAAATCATTTAATGTTTTGCATAAAGCATGAGGTTTTGGTTAGTACTTGATTGGGAGAATAACAAATGACTGATTTAAATAGTGGGGGCAGCTGTAGCTACATCGTAGCTTATCACCATCAGTGTGTGAATGGATGAATGATACACTATAGTGTAAAGCGCTTTGGAGTCCTTACTCTGAGAGGCGCTACACAAGTGTGGATCATTTATCATATATAGTGCTGATCAGACAGAGCTTTGTTGCCAGCGTTCCACTGCACAATGGCTTCAAACACGTATATAAAAGTGTTCGTTTTTACGTAAACCATTGGATGAAATTACACAAACTGGCTGAGCTCTAGTTAACCCTCCCACTGTCCTAATGGGTGTGACCCCACGAGGAAAATGGACCATTGAGCAGGGTTGGTGGTTTATCCCTTGAGGTCCACGTGGCAGGGGTGAGGAGTGAGCACCACCTCACCCCTGCCACAAGGACCTCAAGGGATAAACCATCAATCCTGCTCAATGGTCAATTTTCCTCGTGGGGTCACCCATGAAGACAGTGAAAGGGTTAAGGCTCTTGCAATAGTTTGTGTATGTGTATGTGTGCGTGTACGTGTACGTGTGCGTGTGTGTGTGTGTGTGTGTGTGTGTGTGTGTGTGTGTGTGTGTGTGTGTGTGTGTGTGTGTGTGTGTGTGTGTGTGTTTGGGGGAGGGTACATTGGAACTTTGTCCCCCCCAGTTTCAAAATCCTATCTGCGCCCCTGGGTAGGAACGTAGTTCGACCGGTAAATCGAGAGCTTTGCCTTCCGGCTCAGCTCTCTCTTCACCACGACAGACCGGTACAACGTCCACATCACTGCAAATGCATCACCAATGTAGTATTTTTTCTAAAAATCTCAGAAATAGGTGGATATTTCAACCAAAGTAAATTGTTTTGAGTTTTTGGATTTCAGTTCAGTTTGGCTTTTTAGTTGATTTTTTCATCCTAACAGATATTTAAAGAACTCTAATAAATAAATAAAGTTAACTTTCCTAATCTGCAGAGGAAGCGGAAAACTTAGAGCTGTTTTTCAAACTAAAACGTGTGCACAGACAAACTCCTGTATCTTGTTATTTTGAGACAGAAAATTATGCTTCTTTTGTATTTTATTTTATTTTATTGCAGGTGCACTAAAAAGGAGCCATAAGCATTACATTTTGTACTCCAAAGAACATTTTTCTTTGGAAGCTGCTTCAAAACAATTCTTTTAAGTGAAACAAAAGATTTCAGAGATTAAATTTGTGGAGGAACTTCCTCTTGGTAATAAATTAGTTGTAAGGCATTAAAAAAATAATTCAGAGGTTTCTGAAGCAACATAAAAAACAGGAATTGAAGGGAATGCATTACAGTAAACAAGAACCAGAAGGTAAAGGTGAGCCTCGCACAGCTAAAGCAAAATATAAAATGCAGAAAAGTACTTTGCCAAAATATAAAAAAATGAAATAAAAAAAGCACTCAGTCATGTAGGTATGTTACAGGCAATCATCATGCAGCAGAGACATAGACTGGGGCGTTCTTATGCAAACATAATCTCACACGATTTGTATCTCTCCAGTTTGAGGTTTGCAGATTTCCAGAATCGTCATGGCACAGTATTTTTTTATTTAAAAAATTTTTTTTGGGGGGGTCCCCTTAAAAATCTGAATAAACATTTTAATTGTGCTTAATTATGTCAGAATATAAGTTTAATAAGCAAAATTACACATTTAATGACATAAAAAGGCAATCTGTGGTAGTTTCACCTTTATGGGTAGGGCTGCACGATATTAGGAAAACCTGCAATATTCGATAACAGTGCTTAATATTGCAATATCGATATTACTCACGATAAATGAATAAATACTAAAGTATGCAGTGTTGATGTCGTCTGGCGTGTGATGTCTGCTCCAGGGGCGGCGTTAGGCCCGGCTACTTGGGCTGAAGCCCCGGATGTTTCATGAAAAGCCCCGGATCTAAATTGCGGAAGTAACATGCAGTACCAAAGTCCAACAGAGAGGGAGCAGCTGGCAGCAGTTTGTATACAGCCTGCCTGAGCCTCCACCACTGAAGAAGAAGCCCTTCAGCAGCCGGCTTCTTCTGCAGTCTCTGCCTGAAACGCATGAGTGAAGATGGACATAAGGACGTTTTTTTAGACAAAAAGTACAACGACAGAACCCCAGCTTTGATGAGACTGGTGTTGACTCAGGTTTGTGAGTCTTATTTGAAAATATTTGTTGTGCTGCTGGTTTGCCTAAAGTTAGCTTACTATCAGGTAAATTTGATGGAGAAAGAAAGGGAATATTTACCATCATCATCTCACACTAAACACTAACAGGAACAATACTCTGCCCTGAAAATGCTTAATATGTAGCTTCAGATTAAAAATTATGTGGTACAAGACAAATATGATGTTGACTAGTGCGTGTCACTCGTGTGTGTGCGTGTGTGTGTGTGTGTGTGTGTGTGTGTGTGTGTGTGTGTGTGTGTGTGTGTGTGTGTGTGTGTGTGTGTGTTAAGCCCCGGATCTTCTTCAGTCCTAAATCCACCCCTGGTCTGCTCTGGGTTCAAAGCAAACAAAAACTAATGCATGAATTCCATTACAACATAACATTTTTATTGCAAAAATAAGCAGCTGCACCTGCTACTGTATTAGCAGCAAAACAACAACCTGCATGCATGCAGTTTCTCAGTGACTTTAAAACATCACCTCCACCATAAAACTTTTTCTGATGCTCCAAATACAGAAAAACATCCCTTACCAGGGTTTTTTGAATAAATAAAAATATCTGAAAACAAGTTTAAATGTTAAATAATAGTTAACATCCTTAAAGGCAACAGCAAATTCTCTCATTGCTACTGAGAATTTCTCCACTTATGTGGTTATGATATAAGGCTGTTGCTGCTATTGGGAAGTGAACTGTGCTGGGCCAAACTAGGAGAGTATTAAGATTTTCTGAGGGAAAGAGAAAAACAATTGTCTACCTTTCAGAAGAGGAACTGGCAAAAAAACTACATGGAAAATATGTGAAAACGTTTGTTTCTAACCCCGAATTGAACAAGTTTACCTAGATCTTAAAAAGCAGCTCAGATGATGAAACTGCAACTATGATTCTGATAACAAGCTAACAAATTGAACTAGCTCCTCTTAAGATAACCGGCTAGCAGAGCTTCTGACTGACAGTTTATGTGCAGCAGCAAATCAACTATCCTGATTAACAAGGTTATAAAAGCTCATAAATGAAAAATCACTTTGATGTGTGGGGGAACTTTTCCAGGCCCTCTTTAGCAGGGTGGGACTGGGAGGAGAGTGCTGTAGCCTTTTAGCTGGAAGCTAACCGGAGCCTGGGGCTAACGGTGGGTTGGTTCACCGGCACGTGTCGGAGTCAGCCCGGTTACGATCAGCTGCTTAACGACACCGAGCGGACTCACGTTCACGTTTGAAAGCAGCGCTGATTCCAGAAACCTCAGCACAAAGTGCGTTCGTTAATCTGAGCCAGCATGACGAACAAGGGAAGCGAGCGGCAGCGGAAAGCGGGGGCGGAGCGGAGATAGTGGAATTTTGGGGTAAGGGTCTACGTAGGGGGCGGGCGTATTACGTGAACGGACACATCTGATTGGCCGCATATCAGAAGGGCTACATTTGATTGGTCAAATAATACTTCCGTGTAAAAAAAAGAGCTGGTTTACAAAAAGTTGATGTATGACACGGATGGAAATGTTTGAACCAAACATTTATCGCCGTTTTTGACGTGCTTTGCGATGGGCCTATCGCACGTCCTGTTATCGCGATGACGATAATTTTTCGATATATTGTGCAGCCCTATTTACAGGTGACATAAACTGCTTAAATAAATATGATCTACGTGATCAATTTGATTTGTTAAGGTCTGCATTTGCTTTCGGAGCTCTGCTGTGCTGCTCCAGAGCAGCTATGAGGTCCTGCAGCGGCTCAGTGTCTTCAGGATCCAGAAGTGCATGCTGCTGACAGAAATGTGTCAGGTGTAGGAAAAGTGTGTTCAGGTGCGGGTGCAGGCCAAGCGCAAGTGTCTCGGTGTAGTGAGACCAGTAAATATGAGCCAGAGTCCTGAACAAAAGCTGAAAGACCTTCTGGACCATGAAGACAAACCCATTTGGGAATTTTGTGCCTAAGGAAAGAAGGAAAAAGAGATATTGGACTCAAACTGAAACTGGACCAGGATGTGGAACACAAAGATATGAGTATAGTTTACCTGCTTTTGTGGGGAACACCTCTTCATCAGTCAGTAGCTCCTGAATGTATGACATGGCATAGTCAAAGTAAAGAGGAGCGGAGCATTTCAACTTCCTGCCCTGGTCATCATTCCAAAAGTAAACTCTGGAAAACACAAAAAGAAATTTTAAAATAAATTTTATGCTATTTTAGATCATTTTAATTGTAAAGAAAGAACGTGCAACATAACCAACTATACATTTCTTGTTGTGGATTTGAATAAAATAACACAAGAATCTCGCTCACTTTATTGTGGAATAATGTTGAAATGTAAGTGTCATGTTTAGAGTGGTTTTCTCCTGAAATCAGCACCACATGCTGCTTCTTGACTGTTTCTTTAGAAACAAGTCATTGTTTGTCCTTGTCTGGCCTGAGAAATTATTTATTAGTAAACAACAACTATAATTTTGATCTTACAAAATTGAACCATATGGGCAAATTTTAATATAACAACTACATAATAAGTTATACTTCATTTTAACACTTTACAATAAGGGTCCCTTTGTGAATGTTAGTGCATTATTAAGCATCAATAAACAAAGGGTCCCTTTATTAATGTTCCTGTTATTGTTAAATATTAAGTGTCCTTAGGTTTTGGACAAAGGGATAGGGTGAGAGTGGGTGTCTGCTTAGTTATGCACAGTGTGCTTTACTCAGTATGGTTAAGCAGTTGTTAATAGTTTATTCATCCTTAATACTGTGCTAAGTAATGTTAATAAAGGATCCTTATTGTGGTATTAACTAATTTTCATTTATTTACAAAGCACCTTCCAGGACCTTATCAGTAGACCAGGGTACACAACACAACCACAAAACACACAATACGAACAAAAATAGTGTTGTGGATCATTAAAAGAAAGATAAAAACTTAAAACATTTAAAAAATTAGGAGAAAGTTGAATAAAGACAAGAAACTATCATTAAAAACATATCAAATGAGATGAAAAACAATAAAAGATCAAGGCAGTGCTGTAATCTCTAATGCTGAAATCCCATCACATAAAAATTGGTCTTCAAGCAAGACTTAACCAGAAGCAATGGTAACCCTAAAAACCATTTGAACAGGTTAAAACAATTTTAAATCTTACTGCATCCGCAGATTTATGGTGTTATTTATTTTGTGGCTGAAGTACAGGAAGTGGGCAGCTTGTGTCAAGAACATAGTGGTTTGTGTCATTCGTCTTCGCTTGAACACCAGGAAAACAAAGGAAATGGTGATTGACTTCCAGAGAAACACTCCTCCTCACTCGTCAGTAAACAACCAGGGAGCAGACATTAAGGTGGTAGATACCTTTAAATACCTGGGTGTTCACCTCAACAGTAAACTGAACTGGTCCAACAGAACAGATGATTTGTGTAAGGGCCAATGCCGCCTCCACCTCCAGACGAGGCTGAGGTCCTTCAGAGTTAATTCCCAGCTGCTAAAATCCTTTTATCACTCTGTTGTTGGATCTGTTATTCACTCTGCGGTGGTCTGTTGGGGTGCAGGCAGCTCTGACCAAAACAGGAAGAGACTGAATAAGCTCGGTTCTGAGCTGCCCACTGGATTCAGTTGAGGAGACGTGTGAAAGAAGGATGCTGAGGAAGATGACCACCATCTTTAAAAAACCCTCCCACCCACTGCATTCCACCATGGCGATAAATGATAAATGGCCCGCACTTGTATAGCACCTCTCAGAGTAAGGACTCCAAAGCGCTTTACACTACAGTGTATCATTCATCCATTCACACACACATTCACACACTGGTGGTGATGAGCTACGATGTAGCCACAGCTGCCCTGGGGCGCACTGACAGAGGCGAGGCTGCCGAGTGCAGGCGCCACCGGTCCCTCCGACCACCACCAGCAGGCAAGGTGGGTTGAGTGCCCAAGGACACAACAGCATAATTCTCTGTCCGGAGCCAGGATTGAACCTGCAACCTTCCGATTTCTGGACAAGCCGCCCCAGAGACCATGGACAAGCTCCTTCAGAGGCAGACTGACACATCCTGGATATAAAACAGAACGCTACCGAAGGCCGTTCATCCCCTCTGCAGTCAAAGTGTATAACTCATCAGTTTAAGCTGTACTGCCATTATCCTGTTACACAACAACACCAATGCAATATTCATTATGTGTTCAATACTTGTTCAATACTAGATTTACATAATATGTCCGTGTCTCTTGCAGTATGCTGCATAGTGTTGGAACCCAAGTTTTTCCTTTTTTATTTGTGGTTTTTAGTGGCTGAAGGTTACAATTCCAGACTACTGCCTATGTGTAAATAGTTACATGTACCTTTGTTATTTTTCTACAAATTATTCCCTTAACCTCCTGGGACCCAAACTTGTTTTTGGTTTGATTTAAAAGAAAAAACATATCTAGCTTTTACTGATTAGTCGACTGTAATAAACAGAAACAAAGTTACAAGAATTTTAATTCAATAAAAATTAATTCAATGAAAATATTGTCAAATTTCCTAAAAAAAGAAAGACAACAAAAATATTTTTAAATTAAAGTCAATGTCTAGAGTCTATAAATAACAACAAAAAGGGCCCTAAGAGGTTGAGTGTTGGTGCTGCTGTAACAAATGAATTTTCCCACTGTGAGACCAATAAAGTATATTCTATTCTATTCTATGCTATTCTATTCTATTCTTCCTTAAATATATCTCAGTCAATTCATTCATTAAAACATTGACATTAAACTACAATCCATGTTAAACAGCACTCTGCCTCGCACTTATAAATTTAGGCTTAATTTTCCCTAATTTTCCTGAGAAAATTCAAACCCATAAGCTCATTTAGTTGTCCTGGCACTGAATCCACCACAGACACAAAAGTGACTTAACTGCTTAACTTTGCATCAGAATTTAATACATACAGCATCAGATTTCAGATGAGATCGTTCGTTTGGATAGTGCAGGGTAATCCTTACGTGTTTTCTGGTCCACAGGCCGTTGGGCAAGTGCTGGGTGTGCAGAACTCTGACAGCGCACTGGAGAACAAGTTTATGTGCTTGAAGAAAGCCACGGCTGAAAGAGACCAATTTAACAAGCGTTGAGGTGTCTGCAGAGCAAGATAAGAAGCTCTGGAGTCGGACAGAGATCTGTTAATACTTACTGTTGCTGGCAAGCCACTCTGATTTGTCGACGCCAGGCGGCAGCTTGGCGAGGGCTAATACATCTATGTTTGGGAGACTGTGGCACACATTTTGCTGCTGCAGATATGGCTGCACCTCCTGATTATTGTTATTGATTCCCCTTGAGGAGACGATTCATAGTTAATGAAGCAAACAACCACAGGGTCAGTGAATTCATTATTGCTACTGCAGACTGTAGATAACAAAAAGCATGAGCACTGCTGAGGATACTTCACGAGTTGATGCAATGAAGGTAAATTAGAGTTAATGAAGCAGACTGCTGCAGAGAGGGAGGCCTACTGTAGAAGGAATATGGAGCTAGAATTGGGACAATGTTGCATGTAACTTGTACCAAGTTTTGTAATTTGTAACATGTTTTATAACTAACTGTCGTTAGTTCACATATTGTGTCACATTTTGTAACACATGTTCTGTCTTGTATATAGTAGCCGCTTATCTAATTATCGCCACTTTATATTATTATTTTATCGTGAGTATATTTGCACTTCCTATTAGGGATGGGTACCTTTGACATTTGAATCGATCCGGTACTAATTCCCGGTACCTACGAATCGATACCGGTACTTAACGGTACCAATTTTCGATACTTTTGAGTGTTTATTATTTTAATTCTCTTTTATAATTAAATATATATTTTTCTCAATATATAACAATATTTGATAAATATCACGATAAATAACATTCAACTGTTTTGTATTTTAACATCGTCCTTGTAGTTTTATAAGCTGATAATTAAATTGAAGCTTTACTGTGAACTAAATTTACTGTGTATCTTCATTCCTTTTGCCATCTTTTTTCATTTGATTTTTCCTACTGGGAAGTTAGAATTTCCGAGGAGAAAGCAAACTCACCATTAGCTGATAACAACGGTGGCAATGGAAGCTAACATCAAGCTAACGCTATCTTTAACAGTTTATTTAACTGCTGGAGCAGATTAAAACGATGATGCCTCACACTTAGATTGTTGTCGCTGGTTTCATCTTCACCCAGTCACCCGTTGCATTTAGTAAAGTGAAGCCAAACTTTAGAGCGCGTTCATGTTCTTCTAGTCAGAAATTCGGAGTTCCGAGGAGAAAGCGAACGCACCATTAGCGAAACGGAAGCTAACATATCAAGGTAATGCTATCTTAAACATTTTATTTACCTACCGGAGCAGATTAAGATGAGGATGTCTCACTTAGATCATTGTCTGTCGCTGGTTTCATCACCCAGTTAACCATCACATTTAGTGAAGTGGACCCAAGCGTTAGCGTGCGTTCTTTCTACCCATGCTGCTCTGTTTACAACTTGCTCACAGGGACCGACGACATAACGCTCTTGCGCATGCGCAGCTGTCTTGGCAAGTTCTCGTTATGAAGGACGGGTACCGAAACGAGGCACCGTTTGAAATGACGTGAATCGGTGCTCGGTCGGTACTATGGAATTCGGTCGGTACCTTAAAAAGTACCTAATTCGGTACCCATCCCTACTTCCTATATTTGCTTACCTCCTATTTTATCTTTCTTTTTGCACCAGGTACTGCTGCAATTTCCTAATGTTGTGATTTCTCGCACATATAGCAATACAACCTTCTGATTCTGATCATTCTTGTTATGGAACCCGTAACTTTCATTTTGTAACATGTAACTTTAGGTACATAATGACTTTGGGTGTTTTGAGAGCTGTGATTTGAAACTTGTACATTGATTTTTTTCCCCCTGCAAGTTACAAAATGAAAAGTTTCATGTTACGTGAAAGTTAAGTGTTACAAAAGGTTAATTAAATGCTACAAAAGTTACTCGTTACAAAAATAAAAGTTACGCGTTACAAAACTTGAATGACATGCTACAAAATGAAAGTTAGTTACAAAACACGTTACAAGTTACAAAGCTTGGTACAAGTTACATGTAATATTGTCCCAATCCTAGCTCCATACAGAAATGCTTCTTTTTTTCCTGCAGGTTGAGCTGGCAATGCAAAAACTTGTTCGGATAGCATTCAAGGAATGCTTGACGCAACGTGAGCTGGAGAGTCAAACTCGGCAACATGATTTGACTTTATTTAAAACAGGAAGGTTTGGCTGTCTGGCCTGATGAGTAAGAGAAGGGTGGAAGAGGCAGCTGCTGTGCAGTGTTTTAGCTGTCCAAGCATGCAGCAGCTGAGGGTTTGCACAGTGTGACCTTGCCTACTGTGATAAGAAAACACTGCCCTCTCTATGGGGTCCCCCCCCCCCCCCTCTCTCTCTCTTTGGTGTGAATATGTGTAGCTGTGGTTTGTCTAATGGTGTAAACAGGAGGTCTTTGTTTAAAGGTGCAGCTCTGAAGAATAGCGATAGGACAGAACGTAAACATTAACTGTACCGTGTTAAAGCAACGTGCCAAACTTTCCTAATGTCCACAGGAACTTCTACTAACATCCTGTTCTGTTCCAGTTTCATGGCATCAACCTCCTGCCTATCCAGTTGTCGAGACACAAACAACCCAGAGCGACAGCAATCCTGTGTTTGTGTGTAAACAGTTTCCCCCACTTCCTTAGGTCATCTGGTCACCTTTCCTTCAGTCATGAGGGTGAAACTAAAGTTTTCTCCTGTAAAAATAGAAACTCATTTCTCCCCCCTTTCCTCCTGATGGTTCAAACTGCTTCTCAACATGTGCTGGTGGTGAGAGAGGAATGCACAATCACCGCTGGCATCAGGCAAATATGTAGCGCGCACACACATACACACACATGCACTTTTATATAGAAGACATTCTTCTGAATCATGTGCAGCAGGAATTCCAGTACTGTTCCAGTAATAGCCGTGGCTCCAGTTTCCTATTTAACTTTCATCAGGATGATACAAAAGTTTATATAAAAAAGGATCAAGAAATCATTGATTTCCAGACAAGCAGTAAGAAAAGTAGAAATTCAACTCACAGTTTCTCATTGTTGATGTCCCTAGGAGTCTTGGAGTCTACCTTTGTAGATGAGGGGTAACTATGGCAACCCCCCATGACATAAAGCTAAGAGCAGAGCTGTTGGTTGCACCAGTCCCACTCTTCCATCACAAACACTAACCCACACACTCCTGCACACCATGGGGAATATATGTCAACCCAAGATCACATTTGAGCCCATGCAGCTGACACACACACACGCACACACACGCACACACACGCACACAGATCCCTTTTCACCAAGTTTCCTGAAGGAGCCCAGGGATTGACGATTATCTCGTTGTTTAAAATGAAGCTACACAGTCATCTCATTCTCTTTTTCTCTCCTCTTCTCCAGTCTTCCAGTGTCAGTGTATTTATGTCTCCTTTGTCTGTGGAGTCCCACACCCCACAGGCTCCACCTCTCCTCTCTGAAAGCAGACAGGCAGGTTTCTCCACAAACCCATAAAAGTTCAAAACACAACTCCGCCTTCCTCCCTCTTCCCTCCCACACACACACACACACACACACACACGCTTGATATTCTCTAGAGGACTCAAAACAGGTGCAGGGAGTAAACAGAAAGGTGGGAAGTTTGAGGAAGACAGGAAAAGAGACTGTAAAGTGTAAACGATGTGGCGACACCTATAAATGTATATAATTCCTAAACAGAAGAGATCAATTGACTGAAACAGTTCATGTGAGAATTTGACGTTAAAAAGAAGGGTCTGAATGTCCTCTCTATTATGTTTCACCTGTGCAAGAGGAAGACTCAGATTTATGTGACGGACAGGTTTATGTTTAGAGTTGGTGATAATGTGTGGGTGTAGCTCACATGTGAAGAAGAAATAACCCAGGAAGCGACATAATCCACCCCCTACCGCCCCCCACCCCCCGAGGTAAACAGTTTTTCATCTTTGTATTTGAACTGTGTGTTTGTTTAAGCTGTGAACGTAAAGACACACACAGACTCTTTTTAACATGTTTATTAGGTTCATATCTGAATGTACAAGCTAAATAGACGACAGGTAGCAGACACATTACTCTCTAAAAAAAGGAAAACACCAGCATCGGTTTATTTCACAAAGAAAAAAAAGGCATTGAAGAACACATTTTGTCTTTTTAACAGCTTTCCACCACATTTATTCTCACTCACACAGGTGTGTGTGTACACAAACACACAGACACACACACACACAAGCTATAAAGAAAATAAACCCCATAACTTCTAAAATGGCCTTAATGTAAACATCAGGTGAGTAAAACACCTGATGTTTTGTTTTAAATTAAAGTTTAGGACACATACTGGATCCAGCACTTACCCAAGGAGGTGAATGAGGCTAATGTGCAAGCGTAATGGTACTTAAAGTTTACTGTATTGTACCACATGCCATTACGCATAACATTGCAACGTACCCGTAGCTCTACTCTAAATCCTGCAAGGGACACACACACACACACACACACACACACACACACACACAGGGTCAGATGTCTAACCCTAGACCCAACACTAGACAACAAAACAAAAACTGCCCTACCCCACCCCCCCTCTTAACCCACTGACGCCTCTATGCATGCCAGAGTTTTAACCCAAGGATGACTCATTTCTTTGACTCTGCATCTGAATAACGCCACGATTTTGAAAAAACAAAACAAAAATAAAAACAGGAAGGAAGGTCAAATGAAGGTCTAGATATGTGAGACCGCTGCAAGAAGAGGTGACGTCACAGAGACCCCGCTGTAGCACTGGTGGGAAGACACACTTTGGCTAAAAGCATTAAAAAACACTAACAAGAGCATCTACATGATTCGCTCATTCAAGTCAGACGTCACCCGCCTTGTTCAGGAAGGGATGAGGTGGAAACCACCAAATAGAAACCAAAAGGTGCCTACCAAAGTTATTGTGAAATAAATACAACTATCCGCGGGAATCGTTCTATATTTAAATTTTAGGCCCTGCCCTGAGAAAGAGAGAAACAAGGACAACGATAAAATTAAGCACAAGATTATTTATTGGATTAATCTGGTTTAATTACAACTCTGGTCATACGGCATAATGTTTAAAGTTAGGAGACGAATGATTGTTTGTGGATATTTCCTTTTCAGCAGCTCCGCTACATTTATAAGGTCACAAAGCTGCAGCCCAGATACAGAAGGTGTTGTTTTTGAACTTCAATAAAACGCAATCTTTATAAGTTATTTAAAAAAAATACTTTACCAATTTATGGCAGTGTTTTGTTGAAATGCCTTTTTACTAATCTACTTAATGTAGCCTGGTAATATATATATATATATATATATATATATATATATATATATATATATATATATATATATATATATTTTATCAAGCTGCAGAAAAACAAACTGAATAAGATAAACCAGTGTTTTTATTGGTGGACATTTCTCTAACATGTTCTGCTTTAGGTAATAAATTAGTTTAAAAGTGATAAAATAGCTCAAGTTGTAGATAACCAGCATTTTTAATATTTATATTTTTGTTAAGTAAAACTTTACGGAAGACATCCTGCAGACAAGAGGCGCGCGCTCACGACATTCCTGTACTTCCATACAGGAAGCAAAGAAACCAGAACTGATGCTGGTCTAATTAACAGAAAGACGTATATCATTATTGCCTCTTTCAACCGCGCGCACGCACACACACGTACGCACGCGCACACACACACACACACAATCCTGCAAGACAACCCTTATTCCATACATCAGATTTATTCCAAAAATAGATATAATGTTTTTATATAATGTTTACATTTATATTACGTTTACATGTTACCAAGAATAGCCACAACCTAATACAGGTTCAAAACCCACAATATTACATTTAAACACCTCAGAGGGTGGTATGATCTGGCATGTGCACGTCATCACTGTGGGAGTAGTTTTTTTAAATTTCTTTTTAATATTTTTTGCATGTTTTTGTGGTTAGACACGTGTGCTCAGATGGAACTGTGTGTGTGTGTGTGTGTGTTACACAGGTGTGTGCTTTCTTTGCATCGGTATAGATCTCTGTGGACCTGAGAATACACTCCGCTCTTTAGACAGAGCTCCAACACACACACACACGCACACACACGCACGCACGCACGCACGCAAGCGAATCATTCTCCCAAAATTTTGACTATCTGAATGATGTAAAATTCCTTTCTTCAGTGATCAAAGCTAAAAAAGCTAACTTTGATAGAGCATGAAGGTAGAAAGCTGAATATCCATCATTCTCATATTTGTAATAGTCAAAAGCTGCAGGTGACAGGCTGAAACTAGTGGAAATGAAATGGTGATTAGGCAGCTTTGCAAGCACCCAGACTGATTATGAGGACAGTTTTCTTTGCTCAAATGTAAACAGTCAAAACTTGTGACTGAAAAAAAAAGAATGGGACTTTATTTTATGCCTAGAAGGTAAACAATAGGTCAAATTTAAGACTCAGGTGTTTTAAATTCATATCAAGCCTCTGACACAACTTTAACATATTTCCCCCTTAAACACTCGCGACAGGATGGTGCAGCAGAGACATCAATGGTACCCCGTTGTGGCTGGTTTCCAGTAGGAATGCCATTTGATCTCGGAGCTGAAAAACTTTTATTCACTTACATGATTGTGGACACAACAAAAGGGAATTTGGGGCTGCTAACAGGAAGCAAAGGTGGCATGGCTCTACGCTGAATGAAAGGATGTGAAACGCGTGGCTGTGACATGCCGCTAGGCCGGTCCGTTAGTGGAGGACTGCATTTCTCTGCAACAGAAACAGATCATATTCTTTACAATGGCAGGTTTAAGTAAAATGACTTATTGCCTACATTAATCACACAACAGGGTAAGACAGTTAACCCTCCCTGCTTGCTAGCGGTGGTTGGAGGGACTGGTGGGGCCTATGCTGATGAATGATACACTGTAGTGTAAAGCGCTTTGGAGTCCTCTGACTCAGAAAGGCGCTACAAAAGTGTGGGTCATGCATCATTCCTGAAAGGGGAAAACTCTGGATTGCTGCTTTAGGAAGGCTCACGTGTCTGTAACATGTTTGTGTCCGTCTGCATTGTAGAAACTGTGATGTAGCTGATAAATAAAAGCAGACAAAATTGTTTGAATCATTGCTTTTCATTCATCCGTTCAATCACATAACTGCAGCTTCTGCACAGATGCAGCGCTCTGACGTGCTGGACGTTGGTGCACTTGTGTTTAACAGAGTTGTACAGCTGGATCAAACAGTGAAATCGCAGCAGAGTCACTTGACATTGCAGATGCAACCGAATTAATATTTTAATCGACTTGTTTGTAATCCTCCAGGACACGAACATGCATTCAATACTAAAAAAAAGAAATAAAATGAAGCTAACTGATAGCATTAACGTGGTTTTGTGGTGTTAACATTGCCCACACCGTTAAAAATAAACTGTTAATGAAAATATTTTTCAAGCTCATTAAAGGGACCAGAAATCAGTAAAGATGATAAATCTGTCCAGCTGTGTGGAGAACACACACTCACCATGTAACAGTGGCTGATTGGGTGGTCGGAGACACGGCGTTAGCGCGGGGACAGTTTCCATGTTTCTTCTCTTTTTCTTCATCTTTGTCGTTGATGGACTGTCCCTCTACAGGCCCCTTATCAGCTTCACTACAGAAATACAAAAGCAAAATATAACAGTGTAAACAAGACAAAGATCAGGGGAATCCTGTTGCAGAAATAATTCTATTGTTATGGCTGTAACTGGTTATCACTTCTGGACTCTTTCCCCTTCATCCAACCAAAACGTCCAGTGAAGGGTTTCTGCCAGCACAGTCGGCTAGCACGGCCCCGCAGAGTGAGCTGGGTGAAGGTTTGAGCTAAGTAGCATGCTCCTCAGTGCACGGTTAGTCATTTTCTAATGAACTGATCTGTTAAAATGGTAAAATGCTACAATTTCTGTTCAAGGCATGCTAGCTGACTGATCATTAGTAGTGTCTGAATGAATACACATTATAGTGACTTCGTTATAATACACTTTAGTGTAAGGGCAGTCCTGTAGGTCGTTTAGGAGTCAGGAATTTATAGAGCTAGGATTGGGACAATATCACATGTAACTTGCACTAAGTTTTGTAACTTGTAACATGATTTGTAACCAACTTTTGTTTTTTTAGCATGTAATTTACATTTTGTAACATGTAACATTCGTTTTGTAAGAAATAATTCTTGTTTTGTAACATGTAACTTTCAGTACTTATCAACTTTGTGTGTAATGAGATTTATATGCTACAAAATGAAAGTTATGTGTTACAAAATGAGATTTATATGCTACAAAACATCTTACAGGTTACAAAACTTGGTACAAATTTTATGTAATATGCCAATCCTAGCTCCATAGCAATTATTATGTTAGTGCATGTTTCTTTGTTAATCAGACTTAGTTTGAGGTATGACACAGAGGAATCATCACTCTGCTTTCTGAGAAATGCAACAAGCAAACAAAAGCATCTTAAATCCATTTGGAAACCATTTCAGAGCACAGGCCTTCGAGCATAACCTACCGTCTGAATGCAGGTCGGAAAATTCTGGAGTCGAGCGGATACGAGAAAGGAAGGAAGGAGGAGGGTATCAGGGCAACAATGGAAGAGGTAGAGTTATGTAGGGGGAAAGTTTGGGGGGGGGGGGGGGGTCTCTTGAAGAAGCACTTGAAACTAAAATCAACTCTTAAGGACACACTGCACCAGATGGAGCAGCTGCTCCTGTCGGTCGGTGAGGAGGAGTACCTTGTGAAGACCGCTCGTTCATTTTTGGCATCTACAGTAAGCCGGATGGTTTCCTTGCCAGCACCCGTGGTGACCGTCTCAGTGGACGTGGACCCCGACTTTCCTTCTTCTTCATCGCTGTCCGAGCTGCTGGAGGAGGAGCTGTCCGACGCCACGATTGGCGCTTTTCTCGCCACACAAGAGCTCCATACACAGGCTACGGAGATCAAAAAAGGTCTGAGAAGGGTCGGTCTCTAACGTTGGTTTATGACTGGTGCACTAAAAGCGTTCAGCTTACGGTTTGGGTTTGGTTTGGTGTTGTCAGATCCACTGAGCTCTGAATCGACAGGAGAGCTGCATCTGGGGCCCTTTTCAGAGCTGTGACAGAAATTTTTCAAAAACAGAAAATAAACACATCTAATAACAAAGGACAATATTATATATAACAATATGCTTGTTAGAAAATACATTTTTGAGAACTCCTCTTTCTGTATTGCTGCTATTGTGTTTTTCGCCTCTTCTTTAAATGCTTTTTATTCTCACCCCAATGCAAAAAAAACTAAAGTGCAAAATTACTATTTAGAATTCAATATTATTCAAAGTTGAACCCTACCAACAGAAAGGCTGAAAATCCGTGAACTTGGCCCAGCCTTTCTCTTCTCCAGCCTCAGTGGAAGCTGGCTGAGACGCTGGAGCATCCCAAGCAGCGAAGGCTTCTCCAGCAGCGGGAGCCTTTGAGCTGACTTCTCCAAAATCTGCTACCCAGCCAGTGCCTTAGAGGAAACACACACACACACACACACACACACACACACACACACACACACACACACACACACACACACACACACACACACACACATTAGATAACCTCTGGACAAAAATGTGGTTGGATCTGATCTGGACAGACCGATGCAGATATGCAACACTACACATCTCACTCATAGCGGTTTCTGTCTGGCCCTGACTTGAAAAAGGATCAAAGTCTTCTTTGTTTTCTTCTTCCTCAGAATCGGCGTCTGCAGGTCTATCGGGGACCTCGGTACCGGGAGCTTCGGTTTTGTCACAACTCATACTTTCTGCTTGGATTTGAGAGGACTGTAAACCACCAAACCTTAACAAAACAAAAGATGAGTCATCAGATAAATCCAGTACAGAAAACTGAGGTAAACTGCTGGTATCATCGCAATGCTGCAGGCTTGTCTACCTGTTCCTTGACTTGGTTTGTGTTGCATAGTTGATTTCTTTCTCCTCCCAGATGTCCTCCTCATCATCATCAAAAGGCTGAATCCTCTCCTTAGAACAGGCCTCAAACACAGCTGTGTTGGCCTGCAAAGGAGAATCTTAAATATTGGATTTCTCATTGCTCTGCATCTTAATCAGTATTCTTTCTGATTTGCAGTCATGTTAAATTAAAGAAAAGAAGAAAAAAAAAACCATTAAAACAAATAACCTACGCTGTCTTGGCCTGCATCAATGTTGATATTGATTTCTGCTATCCGGTCAAACGTTGCCCTGCAAAAGGAGCGAGATCCACCCCGTGAGCACAGAAATGAACAAACCCAGTGGCTCAGAGGGAAAACTGTCAGCTAATTTACCCGATACTGTCATCGTGGTCAGTGAACTCTTCGTCGTTAAAGCCGAATTGATCCACAAAGTTAGCAGTCATCTGTTGGATCTGATAGTCTGAAAAGGCCTAAGAACACAGAACCTTTAAAACACAGCGACTTATGACAGGGGTAATGTGGAGGAAGCGGTTTGCATCCACACCTGCTGTACGGTCAGTTCTTTAGGGAAGGGGCTCTCCATGTCGTCTTCGGAGCAAGGTCGAGAGTTTCCAGTTCCAACCTGAACATCCACAGCAGAAATGGTTGGATTTGTGTGTGATTCTAGGCCAGCTGTAGATGTATTTCTGTGGGATTTACCAGGTCTAAGGTGTTCTTTCTGTTAGTTTCTGACAGGGTCTGTTCTACGAAGGTTTCCCAGCGCCCTCTGCAGTCCTCTGGCAGCTCTACACCCAAAAGCATGACAACAGAATTTAAAATAATCTCAATTATAGGAACATCGGTTGTAACTGCCACACGTACCTGTGATGAGGTTACTAATCTGAGTGTGAACTGGGCCTTTTTCTAGATTGTGGACCACAGTGTTGGCAATCCTGGTCAGATGTCCCATGAAACCTCTCCTCATACCTCCTTCTGACCTGACAAATCATACAACACGTTTAAAGAAACCTATGATAAAAGTCCCCGAATATGTCACGGTCTCAAACGGTTCTTACTGTATTCTGTCATTCTCTTCCCAGGCTTCCAGAATCCTCTGGACAAGATGGCAGTGATGGAACAACTTGAGACAGAAAGAATGAATCACAAAAGTCACAATCCAGCTGATTAAATAGTATTTGATTCAAACAAAAGCAGAAAATACCTACATGAGTCACCAAGAGGTTGTGTGCCGAGTTTTCAGAGGCGACTGAAGGTTCAGAAGTTGGGACCTCACTCAAAGTCTCCTCCTGTGACGTATCTAGATAAGGCTTAGAGTTGTCCTGGGAGCCCATGCCAGGCTGCAGCCTCATTTCATGGACACAGGGACGGACAATGGCAGCCACACAAAGCTCCACTTGGAGGTGCAGGAAGTTGTTCCACGTGTGTTTGAAGAACAAGTCCTGAAATGGGGTGAGCATTCAAAATCTGTCACAATACTACAAAAAAGTGAATAAATGCATGTTTTTTCCATCGTCTCACCAAAAGCAGGTCCATAGTATCGAGTCTGCAGAGCTCTTGTGCTACGACAGCATGACTAGCAGAGCTGGTATAAAGCAGGGAGGCCACTAGTCTGGCTACGTGCAGACGAGTGTTCCCCAGTGGTTCCTCCAGCACGCCCAGAGTAGTCAGCATAGGATCTTGCTGCAAATGCAAAGATAAACAGAACAAGCTGTTGTGTACAAAGCAAAAACTCTCCAGCAAAAGAGTCTAAAAGCAAACCTCGTGTTTGAAGAAAGCTTCTTTTTAAGCCTTTTCATATTTTAAAGGAATAACTATTAGACCATCTGGTCTCTAGGATTTTCTATTGGAAACTTTAGGTGCATTTTAATGACAGATGTAGCATCTTGTCTAAATGATCTGATGATTTTTTTCTTTGCGTGGGTGGGTGTACCTTTGGTGGCTCCAGAAGGAGCTGGTGGAAGTGTGTCAAGTGAGGCTGAATAGCCAACAAAATGCTGCTGTTAACAGTGTAACTTCTCTCAAACCCTTGAGCATCCATGACACCGTCCACTCTATCAAAAGTAGAGAAAACACTCAGTAAATACGTATCTACAAATTAACGTTTTGTTTGAGGCATAAAAAAACTACAGAGATTAAACCATCTGCAAATGAAGATGGATTTATTAAAAAAAGGGGTAAGTTGTTTAAATAATAATAGGATATCTGAAGGTTTTAACTCATTCAAAGCGTTTCACTCACACGGGCCTCCGGATTTCCAGTAAAGTCAGAAGAACCTGAATCCCGCTGACGATACAGCTTTCAGTCCTCCCCCCTGAGAACATATTCTGCAACAACTGCTCCACACATTCCTGCCTGGAGACACACATCGGGATAAGTTGCTGCTTCTTCACCAAATCTTAAACAGAGCAGACAGACACGTGCACGTGTGCATGAACATCTCTGCAACTTACGATTCCAGCACTGCCAGCAGAGGGTCAGGCTGCGAGATCTCCTGTAGCTGGCTGGCCTGATCCCTGCTAAGACGAATGATGTCACACAAAGTCTGAGAAGCATTTGACTGCCTCTGTGATGGAAAAAATTAACAGTCAAAAGCCAGGTCTTGTAAATATTTTAGACGTAAATTTTGTTTTCATCACTAAAAAAAGGGGCAGTCTACCTCTTCATCTCTTTCGGGGTGGATGAGCTCTGTAAGTCTCTGGGCCAGTTTCTGTTCATTCAGCCACTGTTGAGAGTAAAATTAAGATCAAACCAACAGAAATCACAGAATTGAAATGAAGATGTTTTGTGTCGCATACAGTAAGAGTCTCAAGTCGAAGTGGGGGAGGCTCCACGCAGCTGATGAGACGTAGGAGCACATCCATCATGGCTGACGTATCGATATGTTTCAGGACTAACGCAAGAAACCCCTCTTTCTTTCTCAGGAAGTTAATTACCTAGAAAGCAGAATGACACAGTTACACGAAACAAAGCAATGTTAATTGAAAAGGGTTAGATAATTAAATCATCTGTTAAGAATAGACAAAATAAAGCTAAATAAGTGTAAGATTGGTCTTTTTTCTGCACCACTTTGGAAGGCAAAAACATTTTCAATTCTATTTTTTCTCTGCCTCCTGGTGTCCTTTCTCTTTTGTCCCCCCACCAGTGACCTCTAAAGTAAAAACCAAGTCTCCAAGGACCAGTTCCTAAAATGCAGCAAAAGGACACAGAAGCACGGAGACATAACACCGAAGAGCTCCCGGAGAAGGCTGTGTCCATCAGATATAAAGCAGTAGCTCAACAGGTTGAGCGGGTTGTCCAGTAATCGGAAGGTTGCAGGTTCGATCCCGGCTCCGGACAGAGAATTCTGCTGTTGTGTCCCTGGGCAAGACACTTAACCCACCTTGCCTGCTGGTGGTGGTGAGAGGGACCGGTGGCGCCTGCGCTCGGCAGCCTCACCTCTGTCAGTGCGCCCCAGAGCAGCTGTGGCTACATCGTAGCTTATCACCACCAGTGAGTGAATGTGTGTGTGAATGGATGAATGATACACTGTAGTGTAAAGCACTTTGAAGTCCTTACTCTGAGAGGCGCTATACAAGTGCGGGTCATTTATCATATAAATATATTTACATCCCAATTGCCTGTATTACGGAAGAGGGTTAGGGCCACTGAAAACAAATAAAAAGAAAAGACAGAATTCTGACCTTTTCCTCAGAATTCTGACTCTTTATGGGATTATTAGTTAGAATTCTGAGGAAAAAAATTAGAATTCTGAGGGGGGGGGGGGGGGGGATCATAATTATGAAAAAAAAATGAATTCTGAGAAAAAAATCTGAATTCTGAGATTACAGTCAGAATTCTAAGAAAAATATCAGAACTCTGAAAAAAAGAGTCAGAACTCTGAGGGGGAAAATAAATCAAAATTCTGAGTAAAAAAAAGTCAGAATTCTGAGAAAAAGTCAGAATTCTTTCTTTTCTTTTTTTCTTTTCAGTGGCCCCAAGCCTCTTCTATACTTTTTACATCTTAAACTCAGAAATGTAATACAATCCAAATTCACACATATTGTCACCTGTCATATTAACCTACATAAACCCATTAGTGGATTAAAAACATGCTTCAGTTCTGGTTCTTAACATTTGAAAAATGTGAGCCTGATTACGTGGAAAATCTCCACAGCAACAGTCAGTCAAGCAATTAGATTAGAGGTCACTGAGCTCCTTTTAGACAACACATAAGAAACAAGCTTTTAAACTTTTCCAGCTGCTCTTTAGATATGTTGTTTAAACCTGCCAGATAATCAATCAAACTAATATACAAATCTTGGAGCTTTTTGAGCACAAATAATGTTAGATCATACACAAGAGCAAGACTTTGAGTAAAGGCGCAGCTAAGGCCTCAGAGGTAAGAGTCAGAGCGGTAAGCTGGCAACACTGAAATGTAGTCATAACTTTTTATGAGTAATTTGATTTTGCAGTGTGTGTGCAGTACCTGCTCAGTCTTGCGTGTGATAAGGTTCCCAATTGTCTTGCTAAAGAAAGATGCCAGGAGCGGGTTAAGAGGGGATGGCTGCTCCAGGAAAGCATAAAGAGTTTCTAGAAGTGTCTCATCGTTGCCCAGTTTATCATTTATCACCCCCACATCACACGTGAGCAGCTCACATGCAACATTTGGAAACCTGAAATAAAAATAAAAGAAACAAAAGAACACAATCACACTTCATGTGCTCACATAAAAGTGAGTGTATAGCCGTTTCCATGTATGGACTAAGTTGATTATCACAGGTTTTGGCCATTATAAATGTGTGAATCTGTTATTTGGGTTAGGAATTTCATTAATTGTTTTTTCAGTGGTCTAGAACCATTTATACAGTTGCATGAAAACATTGTAATATAGTGCAGCACCAGCAAAACCCATTTTCCCCCTAGCTGTACAACTTCAGCACAAATAAATCCCTACTTGAAGCGCTTAGTCTCGTCTGCACCAGCAGGGGGCTCTGTCGTAGTCAGCCGAACCAGCTCCTGCATGCACTGGTCCTGGCACAAGAACTGGATGAGTCTAGAAAATCCATGATGGAGGGTAAAAGATCCACAAGTTATTAGATTTATGGCACTGAAAGGGCAGATGTCATTTTGTGTGCTGCTGTGTGTAAAAAAAAAAAAAAAAGACCTCCTGTTTTGGGCCTTGCACTCCTGCAAAACATCTTCTTCATCCAGGAGCTCAGAGAGCGTGACATCCTCCTTGTCCAGCAAGGTCTCCAGATGAGAGGATGTGTGCAAGTCGAACTTCCAAAACATGGCGGACGTCACCAAAACGTACACTTAGCTGAAGACAAATGGGGATTTAACATGGAGATTAAAAAAATAGCTAAGTTCTATCAGTCTTGAGTTTGTTATGGGGGGGGGGGGGGGGGGATGGTCACAGGTTATAACGTGTGCAAAAACAAATTTCAAATACACACAAACAGGCTTTATAAATGTCGTACCTTCAGGGTAATCTTACTAAACATCAGACCACTCATGCTAGCAAGATGCATAAACTCTAAAGCGAATGCCTTCATCCTACTCGTGATAGACAGGAAAACATCAAAAATATTAAGCATAATTTGTCAGTGAAGCTCTCTTCTGTCTCCTTTAGAACTAATACACAAAGTCAGATTCAGTGTGGACACGTTTCTCTGAAAGGAGAAAGCAAAGTATCAGTAATTTAATTACTGGAGAACATTTATGCTCTGACATTACAGTGGGAGTGGCATTTGATGTCAGAAAATGGCAACATGGGTCAAGAATGAGGGTAAAAATGTACTGCAGAGGGTAAAAATTTACTGTAGAGTGAAACTTTATGCAGTGTCAGATGCTCTTCTTCGTTGTTGCATGGTTAACATCTGTGTTGGTACAAACTTGAAGTTGTCAGGGGATTATCTTATCTGAGATGTTTCTATGTAACAGCTTTACTCAGCTTATTAAACCACAGAAACATTAAGGGATCCATAATTGCCTAGCATTTATCCAGCCCATCATAAGCCACTAGGCTGGAAGCATGGCTGATAAAACATTAAGGCAAAACAGTGGCCACATATACCACCACAAACTATGTTTTTGTCTAAAAAGAAATACAAACAAATCAATTAACTTCATTTTCCTGATGCACACTGGGGGAGCACACTGCCCTAGTAGTACACAATCTCTTGAGCAAACGTGTGTTTCTGTAAACTAGCGTTAGCAAAACAATAAGTCGTGTTTTGTTTTTTAAATGTAGCTAATAAAACAACCCCACCATCTTTCACGGGCCTCTTTTTCGAGACTTAACGGTTAGCTATTAAATATGTCTGCTACAACAAGCTAACGGTCATGCCACTATAAACTAATTAATGCCCATTAGCTTATCCATACAACTTCAAGCTAACTCACATCCTCGTTTGTCTCCTGCGCTAAACGAAACGACGGTGCCTTTCACACTTACCTCGCATGCAAATCACAAACCATCCCCCTTTAGCATAAGCTGACTCGCATTGGTAACATGGAGCGGAGAAATGCAACGTTTCCAACCCAAACAAGTCGGTAATCTATCATAGCCTGAAGCTACAGCAGATATAGTGGGACGGCGTTCCTCTCATTCAGCTAAAAACAAGCCGTCTGCCAACTTGACAGCAAGGCAGGTTTACACAGGCTTCGCTTTACCTGACACCGCTTTCCCCCAAACACAAGTGACTCTTACCTCCGATCCATCATTTTATCATCTACAAGCTAAATAATAAAAAACGGAAGCTCGGTGACTCTAGTTGTCAGGTCACCCGGAGGCCCATAGCAGCATTTTCGTGACTCTCTCGTTAGCTTAACGGCACTACCTCTTCTCTGGAAGCAATGTCATTTACACTGCCGCTTAACGGTGGATGGTCTACCGTGAAGATGTGCTAGTATAGAGGGCTCATCCTGTCAAAAAAACAAAACAAAACAAAAAAACTGCTATTAAAACTGATAAAAGATATGTTTATTTTCTGTTTAATTTGCACAGTTATTATTAATATATTATTATATATTTTACAGCCACGTTTATGTATTTGTTTGTTAGTTTGTTTACACATTTTATTTCCATATTTATTTATTAATTAATGTATCATTATGTTTCCTCTTTTTTTCATATATTTATTTCTGTATATATTTCTATCTGTGCATAATATTTAGGTGGGTGTTTCTACCACAGGGCCAAACAACACTGGTGGCATCCATTTTTTGGGGGGAGCTGGAATGCAAAACAACCCCATTTTGTCATTTCCTGCCCAGAAGTTCTAAGTTCTGAGGACTACTGAAACGCAGCACTAGTTCCGGATCATGGGTCCCAAACTGCCCCAAAAAATTAATAGGGCCCAATCCCAATACTTGCACTGTGCTCTATGATCTTCTGTGAAATGCACTTGGTGGAGGTGTGCAGTAAGGCTTCGAGTGTGTGGTATACAAATGTGCAAATCTTTGTCAAATTGGGACAGGGAGCATTGCGCCATCGACCGCAACGCATGCCGGGATGCTGGTCGCTGTGCCAGGCCCGGAGTGGCTAATCGGGAAGGTCTGGAGAATTCCCGGTGGGCCGCGCGATGTTTGGGCCGCATGGGCCGGTGCTCTCGTTTTTGTTTTATCATTTTGTTTTTATTTTTTGGTGCCGGTGTTCAGTCATGGCACTGAGGCCGCCGGGCTGATCACATACGCTCCTCCCGGCTGTCTACCTGCAGGCTGCAGCTCGTTTTCTTTTTCCCCCGTATGCGCCTGTGCGCACCACGTGACCACGCAGTTGACGGAGAGATGGAAAGTAGAAAGAGCAAGGGTGGCGCGGAGAAGGCAAGAATTAAAAAGAGGAACGCGCTGGAAACAGATGCAGCTAAATGTGCAAAAATGAGCACCTTTTTTTCTCAAACAAGCTTGCGGTCTTTAACTTCAAATGAAGATAAAACGGGTAAGGCAAGTCAAGATGTTAAACTTTACCGGCTGCAAATCACCATTCAAGCTAATTAAGCATCAATAATGAATTATATGGCATCATGACATAACGTTATGTAATATAATTAACAGTATGATGTGACTGATGCCACCAAACTGTCTTGTAGCCCACAAGATCCAGTAGGCCTAATAAGCACCAGGCAGAAACCCACCATTCCAGAGCGGGCATGTACAGGTAGGATTACTTATTGAGTCAGTGAACTGAATATTATTAAAATTTATATGATGAAAACTATCCTGGCTCTATATGAAAGTGTTCTAAAATGCTAGATGATTCAGCATTGATCAGAAAGCGTGTAAAAAAGGAAAATGAATGCTGAATTTTCACACAGTGTGATTTAGTGTCAGAAGAAGAGCCAGGAGCCAGCAGTGAGGGTATTGCTCCTGTTGGGATAGAAGGTGAGCCAACTCATGTGCAAACAAGCAAACATCAGTTTCATTATAATAATTTTAATGTCCAAATAATAGTAGTGACCTGATGTATTTCTGTTAGTAAATGCACAAAGCCCACAACAGATCGCTATTAGAATGAAAGTAAAATGAAATAAGCCTGCATATTTTGCCATAGAAAATATTTTAATTGGTTACAAAAATGTGTTTTCCATATCAAATGTGCTAAAGCTTTACAGATGATTATTTTAATTGTGTGCAGGTGAGTCTAGGGAAACTGGAAAAAGTGTGAAAGGGAGTGCTGAGTCATTTCATTTTAAAGGTTTGAAAATCTCAGAACAGCTGTTTGAACAGAAGGTGGATTGTTATATTGTTAGAGAAAGTGTTGTAAAGAACAATGTTGGAGATGTGCACTGATGTTCAAATAAAGTAAAGCAACTCTTTCTTGCGCTGAATTACAAGGCTTTACCGAGTAGTGTGCTTTTGTAGACTATACATATAAAGTTCTAACATGATTTTAATAATAATTCGTTAAGTGGGCCGGTCTGGGGTCTGAAACTCCAGGGCTGAAAATGTGTCCCACTCCGGCCCTGCGCTGTGCTACTTTTATTTTTAAAAAATACCTTTATTAACAACTTTCAAACAAACAAACAATTATTTGAAATTTATTTACATCAATTGCTGTCTTGTCCAAAACATTCAGAGCATCAACCAATCATCCTAAAATGAACTACTTTCATTTGAAAATACATATTTTCAGAAAAGACGATTTAGCCATTTTTCCCACAACAATGGATTGTGGGTATTACCCTTCACCCAAGTCCACATCAATGCAGACTTGGGTGAAGGGGGGATCAAGGGTGCATTTGAGAATTGGGACACCCTACACACTCGCACCCCTGACAGAGATTGTGCAATTGAAGGGCGCAAGTGTGGAAGTGCAAGTATTGGGATTGGGCCTAAGAGTCTATGAGATGACAAAGATTATTTTCTGATCCCAATTTATGTGCCATTGATTTCACATATGCTGTCAGTGAATTTTAAAGATTCATTTAGAGATTGGGGGGGGGGGGGGGGGGGGGGGCTAGTACCTATCTCCAGCGGTCAATGGGCAATCAGGCAGGGTACACCCTGGACAGAGAGCCAGTCCATCGCAGAGAAAGCGCTTATTCTAAAGTTATTTTAGGTTTTGTGTGAAAAGATGTATGGGACTACAAATGTTTGTCTCACCAAATTGACGTCATCAAACCAGACAGGAAAAGAGAAGATTAGTTTAGCAAGGTTCAAATCCCTCTTCCACTCGACTCTCAATTCGACTCGAACTTTATAAGCACCTTACAGACACTTACATGCCACCAAAGTGCTTCACAGACACAGATTAAAACATAACACATAAAATCCACTAAAAGTGAAGAAAACACAACCAAATACAAAAATTTAAAATCAGACAAAAAAGCAACACAGTCAATCACTTACACAGATCAAGGTCATCAAGATGGAGGCCCTCACTGTGCTCTGTGCTTTCTCATGATCTCCCACCCACCTGTGGATTCAGTTGGTCGAGCACCACACAGGCTGCTCCCGCTGAGGAAACCAGGGTCCCAGCCCCCCCCCCCCCCCCCCCCCCCCCCCCCCCGCCACCCCCCCCACCTACCGGGTCTCATGTTGTGAACTGTGACATTCGTGCTTATATGTAGAGGTGTTTTTTTGCATAGTAGAGCCACACCCTGCCGGTGTAACTCTGTTGATGCCTTTTTCTCCCTCCCCGAACTCTCCTCATGTAATCCCCTCTTCATCTATTGAAATGAGCGCTGTTATGGCTGCTCCCGTGGTCTGCCTGTATCTGTCTTGTCTATATGTGTGTGTGTAATCTTGGTCAGGCTGTTCTGTGGAGTCAAGTTCCTATGCTCTGGTTCGCTGGAGTGCTGGCAATAAAATTCTCTCTGATTCTCTGATTCTGATTAAAAGCAAGTTAATAAAAATGTGTCTTCAGCTTGGATTTTAAAACTGGTATGGAAGAGGACTGCCAAAAGTGTAATGGAAGCTCATTCCATAGTTTTGGAGCTGCAACTGAAAGGCTCATGTCACCCCGCATCTTCACTATCTTCACTCCCAAATTAACAGCATAGTCCTGTGGTGGGTTAATTCACCACAATCCACCATGGAGTTTATCGGTGTGGCGGCTCGAAGAGCACTGCTTCTGTCTTCCCCTCATTGAGGCACAGGAAATGTTCTACCATCCACCACTGACCTCACACAAACAATCTAAAACCTTTGAGATTGGTTGACCACCAGCTTCATCCAAAGGCAAGTACAGTTGGCAGTCATCAGCATACAGGTGAAAATCAATACTGTGTTTCCATAGGATATCACCCAAAGGCAGAATATACACACAAAACAGCAGGGGACCCAGTATTAAACCCTGCGGAACACCCCAGAGGAGATGGGAGAATTCAGATGAGAAACCACCCATCTGGACACACACCATTTTATTAGAAAGGTAGGACCAAAACCAAGTCATTCCCACATAGTGCTCAAAACGATCCAACAACACTGTATCAAAGGCTGCTGTCAAATCCAGCAAAACATGTAACATAGACCTTCCGCCATCAGTTGCAAGAAGAATGTCGTTCAGGACCTTCAGCAAAGCTGTCTCAGTGCTATGTAGTGGTTTAAAACCAGATTGAAATTTTTGTAAAACATTATTTTCACTCAAAAAGTCCAGCAATTGTCCAGAGACACTGGTCAACAAACGAAGGAGCATTAAACATGGAAATAACCACTTTAAATATGGCCACGTAGAAAGTAGCACGGAATAAGATATTCTGTGATAATGTCATAGATGTGGTGTCTAATTTGTTGTCACTTTAATATTACATTTTACAAGCTAATAAATCTCAATTTACGTGACAGAAACACACGTAATAATTTTTAATCTAACTTAAAGTGCAACATATGTGCAATACAGGTCGAAAGGCAAAACGGATTAGAAAAAGTTTTTAAAGCTCCTTTCACTTGCAGTCATTTTTTTCTTTGTTCTGGGGACCCATGGGTTAACTGGAAGGGGGCAGACAGTCGTTTTTCCATCTGGACTGCTCAGTCCAATAAATAAATAAATAAATAAATAAATAAATAAATAAACGTTGTATTAAATTTCACATTTATTTATTTACTTATTTATATTAGTTGATTCATGAATGAATGAATGAATGAAATACGCAATTAATTAATTCGTTCATTCATTCATTTACAGGTTTATCTATCTATATATATTTTTTATTATTTCTTTTCAGTTTTCTTAGCAAATGTACTTATTTGTTGATTTATTGTTGACAAAAAGACGTTTGATTACATACATGTTACAAAATTCAGGCACATTCTCGGACAGCCTAAACCGGTACTCTGCTCATCGCTCAGCTACATCTCCGCAGAAGCTCTCTCAGCCGGCCGGTTAGCATCATCATGGCGAACGTCGCGGACACTCGGCTGTACGACATACTCGGAGTTTCACCTTCTGCTTCCGAGAATGAACTAAAAAAGGTACACACCTTTTTAAACGACTACTAAATATGCAAGACTTAGAGGAAATCAAAAGAAAACGTGAAAGGTTATATGTGCAGTGCGGCCTTACGAGCAAATGAAGGTGGGCTAGCAGTTTACTGATTGTCAGCTAAAGCTAAAGATTTCTTAGCATTCTTAGCCATCTAAAACACCTACTAGTTGCGTATTGCTAATCACATTTTATGGGAAATGTTGGTGTGTTTGAATTACTTAAGGTGGTTATAAATTTGACTGGTTATTGAAAGTTTTGAAGCGTGCCTTTCTAAAAACTATTAAGTAGCCACGAGTGCGATAGCTGTCGGTGTTGTGCTGAAAAACAGTACCCTAGTGTAAAAATAGCTTCCATCACGTTTAGCATTTGTAAATAAAGTTTTTGGTAAATTTCAGAAATAACCTCAGTATAAGTAAGTAGTGACTGTCTCGTGTTTCTCCAGTATTTAAGGACGTACTAATCTATTTTACTATAGGAAAATACGGGATTATTTTTTAGGATCTAAGTTTCCATGACGAAAGCTGTCCTATTTCTGACCTCTAAAGAGTTGAGTCCACTAAATCTAGCTCATGATTCATTATTTGTCCGCAAATGCTTCCAATGGGACGTTATTATCGGAGTAACTGTAAGATTGTCACATGTGCGTGTAATCCTGTAGCTTAACCGCCTGCCTAAATGAATAGCACTACCTATAAATATACCTAATAATATATTAAAAATATAAAATGTAGATAGTTACGTTTACTATAGGTTGTGACAAACGTAAAGCCGTTTGTGATCTCGAACCTACAAACATTTTTATAGTTATTACAACTTCGTGTAAAATACGCTTCGACGTTTGCGCTTTCGACAGAGGTGCTCTTTTTTCGCACAACACCACTAGCTAATAGCCTGTATCTTCTCAGTGACGAGGGTCCCTTTACCAGACGAAATGTAGCCAGTTTATTTAGATGAGTTATTTCCTGCAACATTTCGTAACACTTTGGTGGTTTGACAAACGACTTAGTCGAATTAATGTTCTAGGCAAAGTTGTGCAGCAGCGACAAGCAAACATCCATCCTCCGAAATCCCAAGTGAACACGGTGGCCTCCAGATTTCTTCCTGTAACTAACAACTAGTAAGCACACTGTGTACTTAAATGAGAGATCCTAAAAATTGTGCCACTAGAGTAACTGGGAAATAATGACTTTAACATTAACGTTTTTATTTTATTTTAATGCTTACATTAACATGTCGGTTTTTAATTGTTTGGTTTAAAAAAAAGGTTACATAAACATTTATTATTTATTATTGCAATTTTGCTTACACCCTTTCCGTTTAAAACTATTAGATTATTTAAAGAATTAATCCAGAAAAGTTTTGCTTTTATTTAGGATATATTTTACTCTAAATTTAAATCTAGATATTATTTAAAACAATACAGAAAAAAATGTATTTCCAGTTCAGGTACATTTCCACCAAATTGAACGTTTGTTATAGAGCTGATTGATTGATTATTAAAAAAAATTAGCGATAGTGAATTTATTTAATACAATTATTAACTGATTTGAGAAATACATTTCACAACTTTTCCATTTTAAAAATGCCTCATTTTATAGGATATTGTTCAAATTAAAAAGAAAAAATAAGTTAATTTATTTCATGTTATTTTGTAAAAACAAGCCGCTCAATTAAATGTCTGAGTGGAATTGTTATAAGAAGAAACAATGCTTTACTTTTTTGCAAAAACAAAAAAGCTTGTAGGCATTTCACACGTGAAGCCTAGACTATATTTTGCATTTATTAGAAATTTATTCTTAAGCTACTGTTTATATTATTGCCTACTCCCTCACCAATGATCATTCTCAGGACACTTTCAGTTTGACTGACAAGTTTGTTTTTTCACCGGAAGTCGTCTTTCTGCAGCAACACAGTTAACTGGTTGTCAGTGCTTTAAAGGTGCATTATGTAGAAATGAAGTAAAAAATTACATCCTGTGGTAAAATTTAGTTACTGCAATCACTTTAAACAACTCTGGAGCTTTTTGCCGGCTGTTGTTAAATGACAATTCAGGGGTGGACCTTTAAAGCGCCGAGCGCCAATGGCACTAGATTTTCTCGTCGGGCGGTAAATAATTGACGACTTACCGCCCGGGTGGCGCCCAAGCCTTGTTTGTCATTTACACACTGGCTTTCACCTACATCATGGCCGCGCCCTGTAAAAACCCGCCGTTTTCGTTTTGCGCACTCTAGTCACATACTGCACGTACTGCACTATGTGACTAGAGGTGCGCAGGCGTGCACGTACTGCACTTGTACATGCAGTACGTGCACGATTCTAGTCACGTGAACTATAAGTTCACTATAAAAGACGAAGTGAAACCACGCTAGAAACACACAAGCATGCAGGAAGATGGCGCCACCACAGGGATGGGATTTCTTGATGAAACCTCTGGCAAAACGCTTTAAAACTGGTGAGGAGAAGCGAGACCGTTCAAAACGGTATGAAGTAGAGAAACGTGTGCGTAGGTGGAATGATTCTTGGCGGTTTAAAGAAGACTGGAGGCGCAGAGAATGGCTTTCAATTCCGTTACATATGCAACGACAAAATCGAGTTTTGTTGAGGGAACAAACAAATTGAAACTTGAATATGTTATTATGTTTGTGAATGTGTACAAAATAAAGGTGTATTACATTTAAAACGGTTCAGTTGTTATTTTGACTCGTTTTGGCAGCTGACCTGCGGGGCCGGTAGATTCTTGGCGGGGCCGGTAAATTTTCAGAGTTACCGGCCCGGCTGGCCGGTTGGTTTTGAAGTTGATGTCCACCCCTGCAATTGTCGGCTCTGCAGTATTAGCTCACGGGGTCATGGCAACCTCACACTCACTGATAGTAAACAGTAGTTACGCCCCTCCTTGTTTTGAAAGGAGAAAAACTGACGGCTGGATATGAAATATGTTTCAGTATACCCTTCCATCCAAAATGACTGAAACTTAAGTCTCTTCTGGGATTTTCTCATTGTAACATTCTCACTATATTCTTACATACTGCACCTTTGCTTTAATGTTTTTTCATTGCAGACCACCACTTTCAGTCTTTAAAGACTTTTGTCTGTCTTCAGCTGACATGTTTTCACGTGAAAGCTTTATTTTATTGTAGTTTGCTCACTTCCTCTTTGCTTGATTGGGACAAATAATTGTTCAGACATATTTCCTTATTTGGATCACTCCATCAAAACAAGTTGAAATGTTACTCTCCCAAATCATAGAGGTTGCTTGGATACTGATAATGTTGAGCTTAGTGCGGAACGTGTATTCCCTGAAGCCCTTTAGCTCATATCAGCTCACTACAACCTGTCTGTCCCTCCATCATATCACACAGACTGAAATAGCTGCAGCAGCCTTCTATGTTAATATTAATGTTGAGTGAACAAAATGCACAGATTATTAAGAAAATCAGAAATGTGTCAATATCAAGATATTCACAAAATTCATGACTTTCCACTGTTATTTCATGAATCTGTTATTGTGAAAATGACTGGGCCATTGACAAAAGTACATGTTGTAAAAGCTTGCAAAACAAACTGTACCAAAAATATTTTAATAAGTTTTTTCCTGATTATATGATTTTTGTGATTGTTTTGGGCCTAAATTAGATTTGTAGTACAAATAAATTTCACTCAGCCCTGGTATGTGGATATTTGTTTCTATTTAAAACAAGGATTGATGTGATTAATAATTTTATTGCCCTTTTAGTCATAAAAATTACTATTTATTGCCAGACATTCCTATATCTGTGTCCTGATATTTTTGATAGCAAGGTTATCATGAATAGCAATGGGTAATGCAGGAAAGTAATTTTATATAAAAGCTATTTTAAAATCTCAGTGCCCGAAAACGGCCCCTCAAAACATTCGTCGTCATCGTCTTCCTCCGCTTATCCGGGTCCGGGCCGCGGGGGCAGCATCCTAACTAGGGAGCTCCAGACCGTCCTCTCCCCGGCCACCTCCACCAGCTCCTCCGGCAGGACCCCGAGGCGTTCCCGGACCAGATTGGAGATTTAACCTCTCCCAACGTGTCCTGGGTCGACCCGGGGGCCATCTGCCGGCAGGACATGCCCGAAACACCTCCCCAGGGAGGCGTCCAGGAGGCATCCTGACCAGATGACCAAACCACCTCAACCGACTCCTTTCAATCCGGAGGAGCAGCGGTTCTACTCAGAGTCCCTCCCGAATGTCCAAGCTCCTCACCCTATCTCTTAAGGCTGAGCCCGGCCACCCTACTCATTTCGGCCGCTTGTATCTGTGATCTCGTTCTTTCGGTCATTACCCAAAGCTCATGACCATAGGTGAGGATTGGGACGTAGATCAACCAGTAAATCGAGAGCCTGGCCTTCTGGCTCAGCTCCCTCTTCACCTCGACAGATCGGCTCAGCGTCCGCATTACTGCAGACGCTGAACCAATCCGCCTGTCGATCTCCCGATCCCTCCTCCTACCCTCACTCGTGAACAAGACCCCGAGATACTTAAACTCCTCCACTTGAGGTAGGACCTCTCCCCTGACCCGGAGTTGGCAAGCCACCCTTTTCCGGTCGAGAACCATGGTCTCAGATTTGGAGGTGCTGATCCTCATCCCAGCCGTTTCACACTCGGCCGCGAACCTACCCAGCAAGAGCTGAAGGTCAGAGCTGGATGAAGCTAGGAGGACCACATCATCCGCAAAAAAGCAGAGATGAGATTCTCCTGCCACCAAACTCGACACACTCCACACCACGGCTGCGCCTAGAAATTCTGTCCATAAAGGTAATGAACAGAACCGGTGACAAAGGGCAGCCCTGGCGGAGTCCAACCCTCACCGGGAACAGGTCCGACTTACTACCGGCTATGCGGACCAAACTCACGCTCCTCTGGTAAAGGGACTGAATGGCCCTTAACAGAAAGCCACCCACCCCATACTCCTGGAGCGTCCCCCACAGGGTGCCCCTGGGGACACGGTCATAAGCCTTCTCCAAATCCACAAAGCACATGTGGATTGGTTGGGCAAACTCCCATGCCCCCTCCATCACCCTTGCAAGGGTATAGAGCTGGTCCACAGTTCCACGGCCAGGACGAAAACCACATTGCTCCTCCTCAATCTGAGATTCAACTATCGATCGGACCCTCCTCTCCAGTACCTTGGAGTAGACCTTTCCAGGGAGGCTGAGGAGTGTGATCCCCCTATAGTTGGAACACACCCTCAGGTCACCATTCTTAAAGATGGGGACCACCACCCCGGTCTGCCACTCCACAGGAACTGCTCCCGATGATCACACAATGTTGCAGAGACGTGTCAACCACGACAGTCCTACAACATCCATAGCCTTGAGATACCCAGGACGAATCTCATCCGCCCCCGGGACTCCGCCGCTGTGTAGTTGTTTGACTACCTCAGCAACTTCTGCCCCCGAGATTGGACAGTCCACCCCCAGGTCTCCCGGCTCTGGTTCCTCCTCAGAATGCGCGTAGGTGGGATTGAGGAGCTCCTCAAAGTATTCCTTCCACCGTTCGACTATAGCCCTAGTTGACGTCAACAGCTCCCCATCCCCACTGTAACCCTCAAAACATTATTAAACAAAAATAATAAACACTTGTTTTTGTTTTTCCAGGCCTATCGCAAACTGGCCAAAGAGTACCACCCTGACAAAAATCCAGATGCTGGAGACAAGGTAAGAGGCTTCCAAACACATTTAGTAGCAGCAACAAAAGCTGCTGTAGCAAAATAGTTATTTGAATATTTTATAATGATGCACTGATATGAAAATTTTGGGCCAATACCCGATATTAGTATCACTGTTCTGGTTGGTAACTGATATTTGCAGATACCGATATACCGACTGTAGAAGTTAAGTCCATTACTCGAACTTCTGAGGCTGCTAGACGGGACCTGGTTGACGCTCTGTGTTGATCCGATGTTGACTATTTAAATTACCATTTGCTTAAAAAACAGCCTTAAGCGTGGAATTGTTATGATAATGCTTCTTGTTTAATGTCGATTGCATTCCAGGTGAAACAATGATAGGAGTAATTCGCTTACTTTCCCATTCAAACGTCTTCACGCCACAGCGGTCAATAACCTGTTTGCCCTTCCGGAATAGTGCCTGACGCCAACAATGACATCACTACCTTTATTCCGACCAGTAATAATGACACGCCCACATATCAATTAAAACATCAAGACCAAAGAAAAGGAAACAACATATTTGGCTCCTACACTGACATTAATGCTTCTAAAATCAGCAGATTTTGTATAGAATGAAAACTATTAAAGCTGAATTTGCGTTATTATGTACACATAACACACACATTTACGGTTCTGAGATTATTTAGTCACGTGACTCAACAAATACACATCATTCCCCTCACCCTCAGAAACAGGCAAACAGATGGAGACGAGATGGAAAAAATATCGGTTGTTAATATTGGCCCAGTTTTATTAATTGAACTGATACCGATATGTTAAAAAATGACTAACATTGGCTGTTACCGATACTGATGTCGATATATTGGCCATCCCTAATATTTTAACAGGTTTATTTCAAAATCACAAAACAGCAGTGTCTCTTGTAGGATTGAAATAAGATGGTGATTATAAAAGAGCTTTTAGTTGTTATCTTTTTCAGGCCTACATGACCTGAACTCTTTCTTTTATTTTTCAGTTCAAAGAAATTAGTTTTGCTTATGAGGTACTGACTAACCCAGAGAAGAAGGACCTTTATGATCGCTGTGGAGAGCAGGGACTACGGGAGGGAGGAGGAGGAGGGCCTGGCATGGATGATATTTTCTCCCACATTTTTGGAGGAGGACTCTTTGGGTTCATGGGCGGACAGGGCAGAGGACGCAATGGAGGAAAAAGGAGAGGAGAGGATATGGTACACCCTCTGAAGTAAGTATTTTAGACAGTTAGGCAGGCCGTTTGAAAAAAGCTACCTGTTGTAGTCTTAATTTTAATTTCCTTCTGTGTCACAGAGTTTCACTTGAAGATCTGTACAATGGCAAAACCACAAAACTGCAGCTTAGTAAGAATGTGTTGTGTAGTGCCTGCAATGGGTGAGTGTGCTTTCCACATTTCTTATTAAAATGTTACTGGCATTTAACAACAGATGTAAACTTTGGTCACTATTATAGCCCTCACAACATGTGCATGCACATTCAGGAGTTATATTTACAGCACATAATTCTTACAGAGTGTGTGTTTTGAAACAGAGTTTTAAATATAATTATTTTTTAATAACCGTGTTTATACATGATTTTCTCCTTGTAGTCAGGGGGGTAAAGCTGGAGCGGTGCAGAAGTGTGTACCATGCAGAGGAAGGGGTATGAGGATCATGATCAGACAGCTGGCCCCAGGAATGGTTCAGCAGATGCAGTCAGTCTGCACAGACTGCAATGGAGAGGGTAATGGACTCATGCAACGGATAAACATGGATAATGTACAAACATGTGAGAACAAGCTTTTAATCAAGTCTTTGATGTGTGTGGTTTTGTTCAGGCGAGGTTATAAATGAGAAAGACCGTTGCAAAAAGTGTGAGGGTCAGAAGGTGTGTAAGGAGACTAAACTTCTGGAGGTTCATGTGGACAAAGGCATGAAACACGGACAGAAGATCACATTCTCTGGGGAAGCTGACCAAGCTCCAGGCGTGGAACCTGGAGATATAGTTCTGGTGCTTCAAGAGAAGGAGCATGAGGTAAACAACCTGCAGCACTCACTTCATTAGTTCTAAACACGATTGTTTGAGAAGCGTCTTAAGCCTAATTTATACTTCTTCGTCAGCTCAATTGCGGAGTTGCATGCGTGCATTAACAGAGACGTTTTCCCTTTGGACTTCTCCACATTCTGCGGATCGTATCAAAGCAATTCCCCACCGGGACAACAGAGGGCGTAGCTTTTTTCTGGGTTAACCTGCTGCCATTGCAGTCACGTCTTCGGTCCATGATGGTGTATTTACTATTGTGTTTATTTCAGATATATTTGTTCCTCATTCTCCTCCACCTCTTCATGCAGTAGTCACCTTTAAACCCATGTGTCACTTAATTCACGTCCACGAATAAAGGGTTTGCTGCGTATCTTTGTACTCAGTCCTGTATTCAGTTACAGGTGTATGAACGTTTATATCAACAGACTTTTCCCACGAGACGTTCTTTAAACTGCTCTAGGTCTGCCGCTAGATATCTTGGGCATTCTTTTTACATATCGAGAGGGATTAATAAAGTATTTTTGAATTTGAATTGAATTTGTGGTATTGTTGACCAGTTTAAGGAAGCAGCATCCTGACCAATCACAGGCTTGCGGCCTCAGTCACTTTTGGCGAATAGTTAAAAATTTGGGCATGCCTCCATCACCTTCTGCGTGCTTGCCACAGACCCTCACATCGATACATAATGGCGACGCATGTCTTTGTACCCACGCAGATGGAGAATTGTAAATTAGGCTTTGAGTTGTCAGTGGATAAAAAACACAAAATTTAATTTTCAACAGGAATTCCGACGTGAAGTCAATGACCTTCACATGGTCCAGCGCATCGGACTTGTTGAAGCTTTGTGTGGCTTCCAGATGACCATTACACACCTGGATGGACGGCAGCTGCTTATCAAATACCCACCTGGCAAAGTCATCGAGCCAGGTATGCTCCCCATCTTTTCTTTAGAATTGGCCTACACTAAATGTATGCATGTATTTTTATAACAATAGTTAACTTTGACCTACTAATGTAGAAGTAGATGTTTCTGAAATTCTATATATAACTTTTAAAATACTTGCGTAAAAGTGAGAAATCGTTATTTAAAGCTGCTTTTCGGAGTTTTCCTCTTTCAGAAATTATGTATGGTTTGTCAGAGATCCGTAAAAGTGATAATCTTATCATGTATTGTGATATAATATAAGCAATACGTCTTTTTTTTTTTTGCTAAGCACGCCCCCTGCCCAGCAGAGCTCTGTGCAATAGGAAACCAAGCGCCAACAAGAACTAACCAACAGCGTTAGACTGCCGCTTAGACGCTTCAAATTTAAGGAATACCTCGGCTGATGCAGAGTTGATGAACTTTTCACGGACAAGAAAGTCTCTAAAATATAAATATATGAAAACACAACATGACATGAGCATAATACTCGTAAAACAACGTGTTTCAGCTCTGTTTGTCGGCTACAAAAGCACATTTATAATCAAACCTGAAGTCGCCATCTTAAAAAAACAAAGGAACTGCATTTTGTGATATGCTTGTCAGCCACTAGATGGTGCCATTGGATAAGCGAAATACACCGGAAGGAAGCTTTAAGACAAATTTCTGAACACTTTAAAATTTTTTTTTACTCTTTCACTTATTTGTGTTCCAGGTTGCGTTCGAATGGTGAAAGGAGAGGGAATGCCCCAGTACAGAAATCCATTTGAGAAAGGAGATCTTTATATCAAGTTTGATGTTCAGTTCCCAGAAAACAACTGGATTAGCCCTGAAAAACTGAATGTGAGTTGCCGAAAGCAAAATGGAAATGACCATTTCTACTGTTTAGAATGAAAGGATTGTATTTATTTAATTTTTTCCTTTAAGGACCTGGAGAACTTGCTACCTGTTCGTTCAGACAATCCTGACATCGCTCCAGATGCAGAGGAAGTCGACCTGACAGATTTTGACAGGAGTCAGAGTTCTGGCAGCGGGGCGAGGAGAGAGGCCTACAACGATAGTTCTGATGAGGAAGGGGGCCACCATGGCCCAGGGGTGCAGTGTGCACACCAATAGACTCGTACAAAGACTTGCATACAAACATTGTTTCAGTTCCATTGCTAATACCATTTCAGACTTGTTGCACATAGTCATTTATCCCCCTTCATGATTTCAGTGAAAAAGGAGTTACATAAAACCCAAATAAAAGTAAAAATAAATAAATGAAACCCTCCTCAGCTCCATTTATCCCTCCACCTCCCCAGAGATGCTGGATGTGTGATGCTTGTTTTGCGTTTTGTGGACAGTAGTGCTTATCGGTTGTCTCAACTTGGACTGTTTCTGTTTTAATTTTAAGCTTTTCTCTTTACTGCGGAAAGCACCAAAGTAGTGTTGTTTGATCCGTTACATGCAAGCGCATGCACCTTCTTGCTAAAGATCTAGATTATGTAGATCCTCAGTCCAGACACAAAATAGAAATCGTCACGCCTGCAGACAGTTGAGTGTGTTCCTGCTAGCTAAGTGCCCCGTCGCTACATGAGCCAACCCGATTCCATCTCTGCACAGCCTGCTGTCAGCCAACCTTTAACCCACCTCTCCTGTTCAGTTTGTCGCTTGCTTGTTAAAAAAAACATGAGCTTTACCCAGTTGTGAATGTTTGAAACTACAGACTTTGCGATGATCTTTGTTGAAATTAATGACACACTTTGTATGTGTGAAATGCAGTGGCTCAGTGTGTGTGAACTGGTAGAATGTTAGCTTAATAGGCTGGTAGGTATTCCTGCTTTGCGGTGAACTGCAGTGAGAATGGATATCTAATCTATGTAGTTGATGATTGGGGGGGGCGAAAAGGAATGTTTTTTTTCTCTGATGTAGCGCTTTCCGCTCTCCTCACTGGGAGCTCCTCTTGTCTCGCGTCACACCAAAACCTTCTGTATTTGACATCTCTACCAGTAGTAGTTCCTAGCTAATCTAATGTTCTTTCTTCTCAGCCTAATATGCCTGTAAATAAATACAAGTCCTGTTCCATAGGTGCACTCAGTGTTTACAGCAGTGGTGTTCTGTTGTCACAACCTTTTACACAAGTGAGCAACATAATTGTTCTGTTCACATCAAGGAAGATTAATGGAGCTTCTGTAAAATCTTCACATAGGCCTCTGGTTCATTGTGTGATTGACCTCTGGGGATAACTATCTACACACACTTAAAGGAGTTATTAATTACATTACTGTTGATGCTTATGTTTGTCAAAATGGTAATTAAAATGTATATTGACAATGTATTGGTTTCTCTTTCCTTTGTCTTTTACAGAAGCAGAATTTGTAGTCATTTTTAAGTTGGCAGTTTTAGTTCTTTCTGAAGGTCTGGTTGGACTTTGGCTGCTTTTAGCGCTCTATCAGAGCGGGAGACATGACTTATACAGGGAATTAGGTTTCTTTTAAAGGCCTGACACTTTAACTGTCCAATTTTTTTCCGAAACCCCCAATGGCCAGGTGAAATAACTGGACTGAAAGGGAATAAAAGTATTCTTGAAAGACATTCAGAATGCCTGAAGAAACGAATGAACACTATATATTAAATTATCATAAAAGGAAAATAACTGGGTTCAAAATAAACATTAACATGTCACACAAATGATAGAAAATAATTTCTAACTGAAAATATCAGGACAAAGATGTTTTAGAGCCAAATAAAGGCAGTTGTAGCCTCTCAGTTTGTTCCATCTTCTGTCTCACTGCTGTGCAGTTGAACTGGAGCCAAGAGTTCCTTAAATCCCATCGTATTCCTTTGGATACAAGAGTAGCTTTAACTCAAGAAAACAACAATCTTGTTTTGAGTTAAAGAAGTCCAGGTTACCTGTTTCGCCTGGACTGCATGATGTAAGAGCGCTCTCTTCTGAGCTGCTCCAGCCTCTCTCTAACAACGGTCTTCTGCTGGTTTTTGTCTTCCTAAAACACAACAGAACACATAATAGTTATCATTCAAAACAAACTAGAAGCTAAAACAATACAGTGGGATGCAAAAATTTGGGCAGCCTTGTTAATCTTCATGATTTTCCTGTATTTTTGGTGTTATGATAAATTTCAGTTAAATATATCTTATACAAACAGTGATACTGAGAAGGAAATTCAAGTCAATAGGATTTACATAAAGCGTGCACCTTATTTCTAAACTAATTTATCTGAGATTTTTCTTGCTCTGCCACTTTGAGCCTTAACTTGAACTGTGCCTATGGTCTTCCGTTTCCTCAACATGTTCCTAACGGTGGAAACAGACAGCTGAAATATCTGAGACAGCTTTCTGTATCCTTCCCCTAAACCATGATGGTGAACAATCTTTGTTTTCAGGTCGTGTGAGAGCTGTTTTGACACCACCATGCTGCTGCTCTTCAGAGAATAATTAAAGAGGAGGGAAACCTACAATTGGCTCCCTTTACTTTTCTCATAACTGGATTCGCCTGTGTAGAGAGGTCAAAGGTCACTGAGCTTACCAAACCAATTTTGAGTTCTAAGAATTAGTTCTAAAGGTTTTGGAATCAATAAAATGACAACAGTGCCCAAATGTATGCACCTGCTAATTTTCTTTAAATACTTATTGCACATTTTCTGTAAATCCTAGAAACTTCGTTTCACTTCTCAAATATCACCGTGTGTGTCTCCTATTTGATATAATCAACTGAACAACCAGCGATTTATACAGGAAAATCGTGGTGATTAACACGGCTGCCCAAACTTTTGCATCCCACTGTATTAGCTCCTACCATGGGTAGGTCCTGAGTGAGATGGATTAGTCGGTCTGTATTCTTCAGGCCCAGCAGATCTTCTTCTGCCTTCCTGTTCTGAATAATCGCCAGTCGCTCTTGAACCTAAGAAACAAACCTCATCAGGATCCACTTTCCTCAGCAGAATCTTTTACACGTTTTTCTGCTTTTTTTCTCACCCTCAGAAACTGTCTCTCTTTGTCTCTTTGATGCTTCTCTTCGAACCGTCTTTGCATGTCCACCAGGTTGCGCATCGTTCTCTCTCTTTCCACTGCAGACACTGGATGAGTCGCTCGTCCCCTCTCCATCAGAGTGGATTCCCTCGTGTTTCTCTCTGAAAAGCTGCCTTCTTTCTGCAGCACATCAAACAAACAGCTGGTTAGATGGTGAACGAGGCACCAATCACAAAAACAAAAACAGAGAGATCTTACTGTTGATTCCTGAGAAGATGTCAGGTCTTCATGATCTGAGTGTTGCAGTCCTCTGAGGTCCCACTGCTTGGACTCAGAGGGACACGCTTCCACCTCTGACACTTCTCTGGTAGCGCTAGCTCTGCGATCAGATGTTTCAGAGCAGAAGCCATCTGTATTCTCATAGGAGTTTCCTGAGATGTGAGGTGAAAAAACCTGCAGTTTCTCTGTTTGTGGGTCAGATCCAGCGTCTCTCTCCTCTGGTTGATCCGGTTCCTTTTTCTGGTTCTGCTGATAGAAGAAAAAGATCATGGCTGTGATTTAAGGTGGACACCTGACTATTGCAGCTCTGCAGTCAGTAGGATTCACCTCCTCCTCATTTATCTCCAGAACTGTCTTTTCACATCGTGTGGACAGGAGTTGGGTCTTCATACTACTCTGTCCATCTTGGCTCAGTTTGGTTTCCTCATCTGCAACCTTCTCTTCGTAGCCCACGTCTCCCTCAGTTGGTTTGCTCCAAGCAAAAGTGATCAGAGATCTCTGTTTCTCAGAGTTCTCATGGCCATTTGTTACACCATTCTGCCCTTCTTCATCTGCTGCAGAAAGACCCTCGGGTGCATCACCCTGTGTTTCTGGTGCACACGAGATCTCCAAATAGGGAAGGTCTTCCATGACCATTCCACAACCTGCATGGATCAAACACGTATTACATCTCCCGTGCAGGAGTGCATTTTCTGTTTCCGAACATGAGCCGCACCTGCACAGACTTCCTGCTTGGCAGAAACATTTGCAGAGTGGACTTCCTTCGGTTCACTTCTGACTGGCGCTGCAACTGATTCACCAGCAATCTCTTCATTGTGAGAGGATACAGGTCCTGTTTGATCAGTGCTGGTGTTCTCAGTCAACTTTGACCCTGAAGTTGAGGGATCATCAGACATCAGGAGGTGGAGCAGGTTGGTGAACTGCTGTGTTTTTGTCTCAGCTTCATATTTATCTCTCAGAGCCGGGACATCCCATGCATTCTGATAAAAACCCAGAAATGTACCACAATTACTTTTGTACTTTTACACATGTATAAAATGTACAAGCTCAAATCTAAACTCACTTGGCCCTGGAGTGCTTGGAGTAAATTAAAAGCTTGGACTTCCTGGAGCTCTGTTAGATCGGTCACAAGGAACATGGCACAGTCTTCCAGAATTTGTGACGACGTTTCCAGTGTTTTGTTCTGAAAGGTTGTTGTTATTGAAGGATTCTGAGCCCCACTTTGTGTCTGAAGCTGATGATGGATTTGCCTTAACCTCTTTATACAGCCAGCCTTCAACGGAGCTTGCTTGGTGTCTGAAAACCCAACATGAAGAGGATTTTAGAGGATTATGCAAGCACGCATGCACGACATGCACTCATGATAGAAAACTTGAATGCGTTGTACAACCTGACTCTTGCAAATTCTCCACTGAGATCTGATGCAACAACATGATCAGGTGTCTTCTCTCCTGCTCCTGAGTCAGCACCAGCAGCTGCAGCTCTGTCTTCTAACACAACACAATATATTTTAAAGCTGAGCAAATCTAAAGATCGAAAGTTAAATTCTCAATACCTGCTGCAGTATCTTAAAGTTCTCCTTTTCTTCTTCTTCTCCTCTATCACGAAGCCACAGTGTGACTTGCTCTGCCCTGCATGGACTAGCAACCTGTGGCCTGAACAGAATAAAGTCAAGTGCACGTCACACATCACTTTGACGTTTCTTGGCTCACCATGCCTCCCAGGATTGTCGGGCTGCCAGAAGAGCGCCCTGGGATGTTTTCTCCCTCTGAGCTCTGTGAGTTGCCAGGCTGATGTAGAGACACAACAGTCTCAGACTCTCTCCACATAACCTCAACGAAACACAAGCAGATATCTTGAGCTTTAATTCAAGAGCATAGAATGTACTTTCACATACAAGCGAGTCAATCTCAAGTCACGTTTGGTACCTTTGACCCAAAGACGTAAGTGTTTTTTGTTCTTGTTGACGAAATGTTTTTAACTCGTTCAGGAAAGTAACAGCAGACCAGGACTCTGGATTGATGCCTAAATGTGACCTCGAGCAGGTCCTGCAGGGGCAAAATTTTACCTCAGTGCTTTTAATAATAATAATTTTATTATAATATGAATAATAATAATATGAATAATAACATTAATAATTATAATACAAACAAATACATTTAAATTAAAGCATCTTTCTAAAACCTCAATATCACCATACAAGAAAGGCAATTAAAACATTCAAACTGGTACAAGAAAACATCAATACAGTACATAAAACCAGAAAGAAATAAAATGACAAATCACAACTGATTATAATGAATGGGCAGTTTTAAAGAGGTGGGTTTTCAGCTTCGTTTTAATGTGGTGGAGATATGTGGTGTTGAGTTTAACCGGTAGGGTAGATGCTAGACTTCCCATGGTGGCAAGTTGAGCAGAGGGGTTGTATAGGATCATAGAGGCTGAGGTTCTGAGCATATGGGAGGGTGTGCATATTTGTAGGAGCTGAGAAAGGTAAGTAGAAGCAAGGTTGTGAATGGCCTTAAATGTAAGAAGTTTTAGCAAATGATCCTGAACTTTACTGGCAGCCAGTGAAGCTGCTGGATAATGGGGGCGATGTGATCAGATGGGTGTTAGTAATGATACAAACTGCAGAGTTTTGAACCTGTTGAAGTTTGTGCAGGGACTTCTCCAACAAGGAGGGAATTACAGTAGTCCGAGCAAGAACTGACAAGGCTGTTTACTGAGATGGCGGTGGCATGATTAGAGAGTGACGGACACGGGCGATTTATTTTCGAAGGAGGTAGTAGGCTGAACGGATAACTGCACTGATATGCGATTTGTAGAAAAGGGTACTGTCTAGAATGATACCAAGGCTTTTGATCGGGTCCAAACAGGCAACTATAGTGTTCTCAGTAGCAAATGAGAATGCTAATTTTCCTGTTTGTGTTGTCACAAATAACAACGCATAATTCCTGAAACCAGTCACTGACAGAAAACAGATGATCAATATTTTTCATGTTTGGAGCGTTTATCGAGAGCAAAGACCCATGGCAGCGTTTAAGAATGCAAAAGTTGAGTTTTGTATAATATGTCCTCTTTAAACACATCAGAAATACATTAAGCTCTCAGATTAACTATATTTCAACCACTGACTGACGTGTGAAGGCATAAACACTGAAGGAGGAACTTTATGTTTTACTTGTAAATCCTGAGTGCCCCAGGCAGCAGAGCCAAACCCAACGTGTCAGCAGACTCCAAAGCATCCTGTACAAGTCCTCCCAGCACTTCCACTTCCTGATGCCGTTGCCACGGGGGCAACATCTCCCAAACGCTCTTGGCTGAGGAATCATCAGAAAACAGGAAATGGAACTAATCTGAGGACTTCTGTAGTGCTGAGTGAGTCCAGTCAGCATAGTAGCGTTAAAATGACATTTGACGTGACCCACAGGTCAGAGTGACCTGCCCTTACTGTGGTGCATCTGAAGCATTTCTCTGTAAAGAAGTTGCATCACCGCATCATATTTCACTTCCACCAAGAGAAGGACATCTGACAAGGAGATGCTGCCCCATGCCTGACCTCTGGGGCCTAACCTTTGACCCTGCCAGGGAAATGGCAAAATGCTATTCACACCTTCTGATGCCAACCTGGAATGGAACAACATCAAAGTGAATACAAATTCAGTTTGAATGGTTTAAAACATTACATGGTAACATTTTGTCAGTGCGCCCCAGGGCAGCTACATTGTAGCTCATCTGCATGTGAATGTGTGTGTGAATAGATGAACGATGCACTGTGTTGTAAAGCACTTTGGAGTCCTCTCACTCTGAAAGACTATAAAAGTGCGGGTCAATTATCATTAAAAATGTATCGTTTATGGCAAAAAAAAATATATATATATATCAAAGCTAAGTAGGCTAAATCAGAAACTTTTATAAAATGGGAAAAGAGAAAAAGTACAAAATCAAAACAAGTAAGAAAAAAGAAATACAAAAAAGTTACTTAAAGGGGAAAAAAACTTTATATTTTCAAAAAAATTACAGTATGCTAAGCACGACAAAACCCCTAAAGTAAAAATAAGGTAACAAAAAGAAAACATGAATGTTTTTATATGTAAATAGTTTAATTAGCTGTGTTTAAAATACCACAAGAAAATAGGTGAGTTAGACACAAACTCACCTCGCCCAGCTCTGCCCGGCTGCTTTCTTCAGCCTTTTCACATTCATCACTCTGTTACAGCGCTCCTTTCTCCCCACCAGCCCCCTGGTCTAGGAACAGCAATTAAAGAAGCAAGAACACTTTAATGAACATGGACTTTATTTACAAAAAATGTCTCTTGTCTACTTGTCCGAAAGCTACTTACCACAGAGCTAAAAGTACCAGCGTCTTTACTTTGTTGGTCCATTTTGTAGTTAAGATTCCCACAGTTTAGAAGCTGGAAGTCCCAGTAAGACTGGTATGAAGGGATTTCTAATATTAATAAATAATAATCATCTGATGATCTTTCATAAAGAAGACTAAATACCTTTACCATTTCCTTCTTTTCCCTCTCCATTTTTATTTTGAACAGAACGTCTAAAACATTTTGACCAGAACAAGACCAGCTGTTGTCCCCTCTGGCAATCTGAAACAAACACGTTTAATTTATTATGAAAAAGTATAGCCATTGATGGATATTCTATTGTTTTATTTATTTATTTTGACAAATTTAGCAGGTAAAACAACTTTAAAAAACATCTCAAAACTCAATTATAACTGCTACAAAAATGGACTATTATTTAAAGTATGTGGAAATAATCAGCTTATTTTGTCCTCAGTTCTTTCACACAGCTCCCTCGGATAATGATGGAGGTTGTCATTGAGCCTTTTTCTTATATTTTCTAAAATTCTAGACTTAAAAAAAAAGGCTGACTAAAAATTTTCTCGAAGATTTATGAACATATCTGCGTTTAAATAATGGGACGAGCAGTTTGAAATTGCAGAAATACAAATCCTGCTGACACAAATTGAAGACCTGCAGCTTTTGTGACAACTGACTTCTTTGTGAGAAGTTGCACTTTGTCATCAGCCAAGTGCAACTGATTCATTTAAACATACATATAATATTTCTTTATATGAAAACTATCAAATCAATGAATGCCCATTCATTCCTTTGTCTTGTTTTCCTACAAAATAAAACCACTAAAGGCAAGCTCCTAAAAAGTGAAGGTTTTTTCTGCCAGTTTTTTTTTTATTGTTCTACTATTTTTTTATTTTTGCTTGAAAAACTGACTAAATCTTTACCTTCTTCATGGCTTCATGTGCTTCATCGCTGCTGGAGGAAACATGAAACACTTTGCAGAAAAGGAGACTAACATCATCTGAGGATAACTCCGCTCCAGCGGAAAGGCCCAGAGTCGCGTAAAGAGCAGAAACACAGTCCTGAAGCAAATTACAAGGATGTTCAGTTTTAAATTCAACACTAACACACGCACACACACACAGTAAACAAATGCCACTCTCACACTGCGTCAAAACATCTTACCTCCTCCATGTTTTCACCGCTTTGTGCTGATGAATTATACAGGATGTTACTATAGTTACAGCAGCTGGATCAGTTTACAGGGCAACAATAGTGACATCGTTGGAGACAGAGGAGCGAAATGTCACACAAAAACACTAATTCAACTGAAAATAGGTGTTTACTGCTTTTATTTTAAAGAGACCTTATTTTATTTTGACTTGCAAGAAAAATTGAGCAATTAGCAGCTTCTTGTTTTTTAATTACAGCCAATTCAGGAGAGTTCTATGGAAATAAATAAAAAGTAAGACAATTGTTTATTATTATAAGAATAACACAATAAATGCACAATAAATGCCTTTTTGTGATCAAACTGTCCCATTATTACTGATGCCCAAGTGTGTTAATGTGATTACTGAATTAGTGAGATGTTCTGGGATTGATGAGAACATTCACCATAACACAGGGGTGTCAAATATGCGGCCCGCAGGCCGGATCCGGCCCGCAAGCGGGTTAAATCCGGCCCACGAGATGGTTGTGTAAACTTTATTTTCATACTTTACAATGTAGAGTGAAAATAAACTTATCATTGTGAGCAAGTTTTCTCTGTAATGAGTATAAATAAAACAAAGCTGCGCTCAAGGCTCACACAAGAACTTGAATCACATCCTGAAGTTGGCTGCCACTCAGGATGTGACTTCTGATATTGATGTGCTGGTGAAAGCTAAAAGATGTGAAGTAAAATGAGTCAAATATACTTTAATTGCTGCATGAAACTGATCTAGCCATGTGATCTGTAAGCTCTGAATCACTAAGGAATGTTTTATTTATTTATTTTTTTTCCTCAAATTTTCAAATACACTTCAGGTGTTGCACTTGTACTATTTTGGATACACTGTCCTCAGGCTCCAGCTTTGTTTTATATCGATTGTATTAAAACAAAGAAAACAATCTGAAGTTGTTTTTAAGTTACCGGACTAGATTTTCCTCAATGTGGCCCCTGAGCTAAAGTGAGTTTGACACCTCTGCTATAACAGAAACAACAAAGATCATTTAAACTTCTGTTTATTACAGAAATGAGAAACTGAGGGAACTTGAGATTATGTTTATCACATGTAGAGCCAAAACATTGCACATTTTTTAGTATCTGCACAAAAAACAAACAAACAAAGTTTTATGTTATCTTTAATAATTCTGATCCAGTTTGTGATAAATGTGTGAAAAAAACAACCTGTGAGGTATAAAGACTCAGTGCTACTATATGTCTTACTCTTCCGTCTGTGTGTAACATCCTTGAGGTGGATCCAGTTCTGATACACGTGAGAATACATTATTGTTTGTGCAGGACGAGAATCATAAATGGTTGCCGTAGATAATTTTTGGGCACTTTTCTGGCTTTATGCAGTAGCTGTTGTGCAGGACTAGACCAGCAGGACACTGACAGCCTGGGACACAGGGCTTGAAGCAGTGACTCTCTATCACCCCCAGTGGAGTGTCAGCGTTAAAGCAGGTGACAGGACAAGGTGGGCCGCACTCGTCAAACACAAAGCCCCTCTCCACAGGACAGCCCACAGCTTTTAAACACAAAGAGAATAAAACGCTTTTAATCTTTCAGGTAGAATTTGAAATTCTCTATTTCCAAACAAAATAGATTTTATTATAATTAGTTAAAGATGGTTATTATATCTTTCTCACCACAGAGGGATGCACTTCTCCACTGAAGGACGACTCCAGCCTCTCTGCACTGGCTGGCGTAAGCCTCCAGTGCATCACACAGACATTCATCAGAATTTGCTCCACACGCACAGAGGTCATACACGCAGGCGCCGTACCACACCTCAGGAGGCAAGACCCGATGGCACGGCTCAAAGACGGAGGATTTCAGGACCTGACAACGAGCGTTCGCCCCCTTCCTGGCCTGGTATCCCGCACTCTTACACGGATCAACATCTTCTCCAGGATGACAGGAAGAGAGGGAGTGATGTCCACTTGTCACCTTAAATTAGAGTTGCTTGATAAACATGCAGCCAGACTACTTGTTTTCAATCTGTTCATAATTCAACGTCTTACTCTCCAGCCGTTCCCAAACTCAGACTCTGATTGGGCAAGCCGGCCATCAGGCATTTGGAGATCATCCTGGTGATAGCCGTTGAAGTTTCCGCAAAGTCCGCAGGTTTGACTCTTGTACGAGCCTGGCACGCTCACTTCCAGGTGGGAGCGAGGACTCCACAGCACCTTAAGGTGGACCAGTAGAGATAAAATGAATTTGCTCCTTTTCAAATTACATTTAAAACACTTGAAACAAGTACCTTCAGTCCGATGTTTGTGTTGAGGAGGACAGTGTTGGTTTGCTGCTCTATATAGACGTACGGCTCGTAGAGGAAAGGCAAAGTCACAACTTCTTCATTTACCTGAAGAACACAAATAACTGAGGGGATATGCAATATAAAAACATCTGTTTAAAGTAATCTTTAACGCCATTGCACACGAACCTTCAAAACCCAGTCTTGGAGAAGATTCACGGTGACATTTCCTAAAAACACCACCACCTCTTTAGTCCAGGACACCCCTTTTCTTCCACGGTTATCGTTTGTGACATGAACACTGCATCCAAATGAGTCATTTTGTTGCAGGAAGATGAAATGAGGGAAAAGGCAAAGTTTATTGGATCAAACCCATGATGAAAACAACCTCCAACACCTCTGAGATTGTAGAATTACTGCACAGTAAATAAATAAACACGTGTGTTTACAATGGACAGAAAACAAGATCTTTTAGTACTATACTGACATTAAGGCCATGCAGCAACAGAGGAGCACCTGCTTGGGTAGCCATGGCGACCATCTCACCTGAAGTCTCCACCTTCACAGTCCTGCGTCAGAATGTATGTGCACGTTCCCTGGAAGTGCAACATGCGGCCATCGAAGGTACGGTAATGAGGGTCACCGAAGGTGATGCAGGTCGCCGGACGAGGAAGGCAGTGGGGACAACATAGACCAGGGATGACAGCTGGACTCTCGTCCTGAACACCCCCCACACGCACGCACGCACACACACACAAGCTGTGTTACACTGGTTGTGTAATCATGATGAGCAAACAACATTTTTTGAGAGTTAAAACACGTCCACTTTGTAACAAGCGACACCATAAAAACATTTCAGTGTGTGTGTGTGTGTGTGTGTGTGTGTGTGTGTGTGTGTGTGTGTGTGTGTGTACTGACTGCTGCACAGGTGAGAGGAGGGCAGCGTTCACTTCTACAGCGTACGTCTCCTGACACACACGTACAGCTGGTACACTCGTCCACCTCCCATTGTTCATCTGAATGATACTCGGTCCCCTGGTACAAACACGACTCCCCTGAGTCCACACACACACACACACACACACACACACACACACACACACACACACACACACACACACACACACACACACACACACACACACACACACACACACACACACACACACACACACACACACACACACACACACACACACTTTAGATTTCTAGCGTCACGGTGCTGTAACTGGTGGAGTTAACTTTCATACCTCGGCACTCGTAACAACATCTTCCAGGCGTCTTCACTTGTTTCTGACCATTCACACAAACCACAGGTAAGCACTCCTCGATGCTGCACTCGACGTGGCCCAACTAGGACACAAGCAAAAAGACATTAATACAACTAGTTGCCCTAGTAACCAAAAGCAAAAAATTACAATTTTGGGGGAAATTTGGAAACTTAGACTTTCTTTGTACGAATTATAAATCAAATCAAATCTATCTATAATGATAAGTTTGACTCACGTTACAAGTACAGGTGACACAGTCATCATCGCTGTCGGTCCAGCTGCTACCGCTGGTCACGCGCTTATTCTGACTCTCAATCACACAATCTGTGA